GACAAAATTCTAGAGTCATGGTAGATGATGTGTGGCAAATTTCAGAATTTTATCTCAAAAACTGAATTTTTGACAGCATTTTGAATTTTGCTCTAATGTGAACAATTGGAGTCAATGTAAAAATGGCAATTTTAAACATCAGTTTTTCACTTATGGAGCAAATCAATCATTGTTACAAACAAATTACCAACATCTCCATGCTGTCTAGATGCAATATGTGTATTTTCAGATTTTTGTTTCGATAACTGAATTTTTTACAGTGGTTTGAAATCTGCTTTTCCATGCATGGACGGCTGCTAAACCTGCACGTCTGGTTTAGTCAATTTGTGAAGCTACACATGAATTGACACTGACTAATTAGCTCAGTGAGATAGAAATTGAGTCTTAGTCTCAGAGGTTGTGAGTTCAAGCCTCAGCTGATGCAAAAGGCAGATTGTGTTGCTAGATTCCTAAATGTCTTCCAATTCTTCTGCTTGTTGCTCAGAATTGCCTAAAAATGCCCGGACCCGACCCATCGCTGCGCAGCAGCTATAATTTGAGTTACTTTGCCTTTCTATCATCTTGACATTGGATATTTTCTCTTTCTGGGTCCATCCTCTGTAAACCCTAGAGATGGTTGTGTGTGAAAATCCCAGTAGATCAGCAGTTTCTGAAATACTCAGACCAGCCATGTCTGGCACCAACAACCATGCCACATTCAAAGTCACTTAAATCGCCTTTCTTCCCCATTCTAATGCTCAGTTTGAACTTCAGCAGGTCGTCTTCACCATGTCTACATGCCTAAATGCATTGAGTTACTGCCACGTGATTAGCTAATTAGCTATTTGTGTTAACAAGCAGTTGAGCAGGTGTACCTAATAAAGTGGCCAGTGAGTGTATTTGTGTATTTCTCTTTAAAATATTATTAAATATTATATTAAAAGGCCTCCAGAGGCCACAATACCATTGGAACACTGTGTAATTTAACATGTAAGAACTCTGCTCTGTTTATTTTCATCTCTGTGACTCTTTACTGCAGTAAATACATTCATCCGTCTCATTCTGTTATTATGTGTATTGTGTCACTGGATTGTTTCCACAGAAACAGTCTGACAGTGTTTCATTAGATTGATCTTCTATAATAACTGACCTCGTACTCCTCTGACAGCAGGTAGTTGGAGTCGGCCTGCAGTTTGTTGTAGTGAAAGTCAAAGTTCAGGACCTTGATGGGGCTGAAGGACAGAAACCAAACGTTTTAATAAAGAGGACAAACAGCTGAGTGTAACAGAGGAGACATTTGGATTTCTCACCTTGAGACTCGGCGGTTGCTGGGGAGCAAAAGGAGGAACAGAAGTTAAACATGTGTTCAAACATGTTGATGAATAATGATGATCAGTGTGAGACAAACCTGACACACCTCAGTCTGAGCTAAAGGATTCACAAAGTCAACACAAAGAACCACAAACTGTCTCAGCCTGCAGGGACGAAGGAGTGGTCTTAACTGTTATTAATGTCATAACAATCTGCTCTGTCAGCACAAACAATACCAAACTGATCAATAATCACCCGTTGGATCACTGACTCAAGTCGTTTACTTTAACTTATTTATGATTTATTGTTTTTACTGGCAGTTATTGTTAGTGGTAGTACAGTGTAAGTATACATCTCAGAAGTAACATACCCATTAACATAATAAGTAGTGTTAGTGTAGTATTACACTGTCAGCATTAACTTAAATCTCAGTAATAGAAATAGCATTAGGATTACCTTTGATACTGTCAGTATTAGTTAGTAGTGTTAGTATTAGTATCTGTCCTAGTGTTGTATTATTAATACTCTCAGCATAAGTGTAGTAGTAAACTATTACTGTTAATATTAGAAGTAGTTTCTAAATGTATTAGTGACAGAACTAGATTTTTATTGTTAATACTCTCAGTAGTAGTAAAGTATTACTGTTAGTACTAATAGTTTATAAGTATATGGAAGTAACATAACTAGATTTGTATTATTAATACTCTCGGTATCAGTGTAGTAGTAAAGTATTTCTGCGAGTAATACTATGGGTTTATAAATACATGTAAGTAATAGTATTAGATTTAAATTATTCTCTCAGTATTAATGTAGTAGTGGAGTATTGCTGTTAGTATTAGCAGTAGTTTATAAATATATATTAGTAACATTACTAGATTTTTAAAATCAATATTCTCAGTATCAGTGTAGTGGTTAAGTATTAATGTTAGTATTACTAGAGGTTTACAAGTATATGTAAGTACCAGTATGAGATTTGTATTATTAACACTCTCTGTATTAGTGTAGTAGTAAAGTATTACTGTTAGTATTAGCAGTAGTTTATAAATATACATGAGTAACAGTACTAGATTTGTATTATTAATACTCTCAGTATTAGTGCAGTATTAGTTAGGGATGTTAGTGTTAGTAACTGCACTACAGTTGTATTATTAATACTCTCAGTATTATTGTAATAGTATTACTGTTCATACTAACAGTTTATAAATACATATAAGTAACAGTACTACATTTATATTATTCTCTTAGTATTAATGTAGTGGAGTATTCCTGATAGTATTAGCAGTAGTTTATAAATATGTATTAATAACATGACTAGTTCTGTATTATTAATACTCTCAGTATTAGTGTAGCAGTGAAGCATTGCTGTTTGTATTAGTAGTAGTAAATATATATTAGTAACTGTACTAGAGTGGTATCACTGTTAGTATTAGAAATAGTTCGAAAATATATTTGTAACAGTACTAGAGTTGTATTATACTTACTTTAAGTATTAGTGTGGTAGTAAAGTATTACTGTTAGTACTAATAGTTTAGAAATATATTCAAGTAACGGAACTATATTTATATCATTAATACTCTCAGTATTAGTGCAGTAGTAAAGTACTACTGTTAATAGTAGTTTAAAAATACATTAGTAACAGAACTAAAGTTGTATTATTAATACTCTCAGTATTACTGTTAATGCTCATAGTTTATAAATATATGTAAGTCACAATACTAAACTATGAGCATTAACAGTAATACTGAGAGTATTAGTAATACAACTTTAATAATACTGAGAGTATTAATAATAAAGCTCATAGTTTATAAATATATGTAAGTCACAATACTAAATTTATATTATTCTCTCAGTACTAATGTAGTAGTGGAGTATTGCTGTTAGTATTACTATTACGGCACGGTGGTGTGGTGGTTAGCACTGTCGCCTCACAGCAAGAGGGTTGCCGGTTCGATCCCGGGCATGGGAGCCCTTCTGTGCGGAGTTTGCATGTTCTCCCCATGTCAGCGTGGGTTCTCTCCGGGCATGCCGGCTTCCTCCCACAGTCCAAAGACGTGCAGATTGGGGACTAGGTTAATTGGTAACTCTAAATTGTAGGTGTAGGTGTGAATGTGAGCGTGAATGGTTGTTTGTCTCTATGTGCCAGCCCTGTGATAGTCTGGCGACCTGTCCAGGGTGTACCCTGCCTCTCGCCCGATGTCAGCTGAGCTAGGCTCCAGCCCCCCCGCGACCCTCAAGAGGATGAAGCAGTTAGAAGATGAATGAATGAACATTACTAGATTTTAGATTATACATACTTTAAGTATTAGTGTGGTAGTAAAGTATTAATGCTCAAACTAATACTTTATAAATATATCTAAGCAACAGAACTATATTTATATCTCAGTATTAGTGCAGTAAAGTACTACTGTCAGTAGAAGTTTACAAATACATCTTTTTAACATCATGCAGAGGACTGCAGTTGAAAATTAGCCTTTGGCTAACACCGGCACATTTACAGCAATGTTTATTAATGTGCACTGTCCTCTAAATAAATAAATAAATAAATAAAATAGTAACAGTACTAGAGTTGTATTATTAATACTCTCAGTATTAGTGCAGCAGTAAAGCATTGCTGTGTGTATTAGCAGAAGTTTATAAATATATACTAGTAACTGTACTAGAGTGGTATCACTGTTAGTATTAGTAATACTAGTATAGTAACACTATATATATTTGTAACAGTGCTAGATTTGTTTAATTAATACTTTCAGTATCAGTGCAGTGGTACAGTAATACTGTTGGTATTAGATGTAAAAAATATAGTAGTAACAGTATAGAGTTGTATGATAAATACTGTAGTAGTTAAGTATTACTGTTAGTATTAGCAGTAGTTTATAAATAAATGTTAGTAACAGTACTAGATTTGTATCATTAATACTCTCAGTATTATCCATCCATCCATCCATCCATCCATTTTCAACCGCTTATCCAAAACCGGGTCGCAGGGGCAGCAGGCTGAGCAAAGTATTACAGACGTCCCTCTCCCCAGCAACACTTTCCAGCTCCTCCTGTGGGACCCCGAGGCATTCCCAGGCCAGATGAGATATGTAATCCCTCCAGTGAGTTCTGGGTCTGCCCCGGGGCCTCCTACCATGTGCCCAACGCTCAGTATTTGTGTAGCAGTAAAATATTACTGTTCATATTAGCAGTAATTTAAAAACATATGTTAGTGACAATACTAGATTTATATTATTACTAATGTTAGTTTGATTAGCAGTTTTAGAGTGAGTATGACTGTGAAAGTAAAGTGGAGTAGTCTTCCCACTTTTAGTACCACCGCACAGTATGTAGTGTAATATGCAGTATTTTTACCCTCTGACTCCCAGGTGGACTCCTGATGTCGATCTTTCTCTCCTCACATTCATCCTGACCGTCGCTCTCTCCTGAACCCTGAAACACAGCAGCATCACACAGGTGTTGTTACCTGTTATTAATCCAGGTGAGGAGGTGAGGGTGGAGGTGGAGCAGCCAGTTTACCTGCTCCACACCTGCTGCACCTTCACATAGTAAGAACACACCTGCACTGTCGTACAATCAGAGCCTCAGACCAGCCTTCATCAAACAGGTAACACAACCTTTAATCAATATAACAAGTTTGATCTTTGTGTCCTAATAACTGGATAAATCGTTTTACATTGTGACAGCTTACATTGAAATCAACGCAAAGCAAGGAGGTGTGTTGTGTTTTCAGTCCAGCAGAGGGCAGCACAGACCTGACAGCTAGAAACACTATAGACTGTGGCTGGACTGAAGGTGCAGACAGTTTGATGTCAGGAGAACTCTACTATGGAGCAGGTGGTGAATAAATGTTTGGACTGCTCTGATGAATTATTTTATTCTTCGTGTTGTGAGCAGTAAATACGGCAGCTGGAGAGTTTGTGTTGAAGTCAGTGTGTTTGCTGATACTCACACTTTGCGAGCCTTCTGTCTGCAGACCAGCAGAGCGGTGACTCCCACCACCATGAGGACGAGGAACATGCCAGCACTGATTCCTTCGATCACACCGCTCAGAGGTTCTGAGGGAGAAAACAACATGTTCAGTCACTTAAAGGCCTTTAATTCTCCTCAAACTTGAATCCACATGAGAGTTTCATCTGTTTCTATCATGAAGAGAACTGTCAGTGTCCTCCTCATTCAGGAAGAAGAAACTAATTAGCCAACATTCGGCTCATCTACAAATAATATAAATACATAAGCAGACGCATAGTGGATCCTTCGAGAACTGTGAGAGTTCCCTTAATAAATATCCAGGATCAACATGTGGAACTCAACATGGATTGTGACTGGGATCAGTTTAAACAGTGGAAACTGTTTGTAAAGATCAGTCACGAGTAAAGAGAAATCATCTTGGAGTTCTAAGGTTAGCTGTCTCTTTGCTTGTGTTTTAGTTTTGTGTATCTTAAAGGTCCATCAGAGACACAGAGTACAGACTAACTCAGGCTATAAATACTGTAATATGTGGTCTTAGTTTATCATATTTGTCCCTGTAAGAAATGATATTAAATAACTAACATAAATAATTATATTTGTCTGTCTGACTTTTATTTTCCCTGCCTCATCAGTGAGTTTTTTCAATTTCCTTTACTGTGTTCACCACTTGTCTCTTTTTCTGACTCAGAACAACTTAAACATTTGAACCACTTGAAATTTTTGAAACACTTAAAAATTTTCAAGGTGTTTTAAATGCTTCAATTGTTTCAAATGTTTCAAATATTTAAATTGTTTGAAATATTTTTTTAATCTGTCAACCACAAAAAATCGTTATGCACAGAAACCTTGTACACTGATTGAGATGCATTTTATTGGTCTATTCATTGTGAAAATTTGGACTACGTGACAAAATGAAAAGACACATTTCCTCCTTTGCTTCTCTCCTCTACCTATATGACTGTCACCACTCCCTGCCTGTCTTTCATTTGGCACCACAGCTGCATGAAGGGGTGGAGCTGTCTACATTCTGTGCGGTCCACATCCTACTCCTTTTCATCATTGTCCACCTGAATATTACTATCTGACCTGTTCAAAGTAACTGTCTGAGTCATGAAATGATCCTGTGCGCCCCTTTCCTCTGTCTTGTCGCAGCTGTGTCCCGCCACATTGTCTTCACTGACTCTCGGTCAAACGTCTCTCAAGGCTCTGACAGTTAAGACTTATTTTTAGACTTAGGACAATTTCAGATGAAAAAACGTGTTCGTTTCTGTGTTCACCACTTTTCTTTTTTTCTAGACTGTGTATGTTTGTCTCACCTGGCTCAGTGACCACAGGTAATGACAGGTAAGTGTCACTGTACAGCGGACTGCTGAAGTCTTTATTCTCCTCATCAAACAGCTGAGTGAACGCTCGAACACTGAGCCTGCAGACACAAACAGAGGGCACACAAACCTTCACTTAATAATAATTTCATTAATATATAATTATTATTTGATATGAATGACATTCAGAAACATTTTTAGTGGAGATATTCCGGATCTCTGTCAGTGCTGATCTTCATTTTCCAACATCCGAGATAATGAATAATTTGCAGAAAAGTGGATTTTTACCTTGAAACACAATAAAACAAAACATCTTACTTCTGCTTTCACACCTTCTGACATGTTTACATGGGATACAGTTTGTAAATATAGTAAATATAACAAATAAAAATAAGGTTTGTGTTGTGTTGATGATGATGTCATACAGTGATGGTAACATTTATCATACTCGTTGTTGTTGTATTTTCCTTTTGAAAGAGTTTCAATATCACTGGCTGAGTGTCTGCTGTGACGTGTTCAGTACCTGTAGGCAGTTTTAGGTTTTAGCGGTCCGTCACAGAAATGGTTTCGGTCTCTGCTGGTCTCTGGATCCAGGTCTGTGCGCTCACAGGAGCCCCCCAGTGAGTCCATCCCCGTCCCCACAGTGATGTCAAAGCTGTGAGAGCTGCTGTCAGGGCCCTCGGTGCAACGACTGGGGAAGTAACTGGTCTGGTAGGATTTAATGGAGCTGTTGGATTTATACTCCAGGTACGAGGGCAGAGGGTGCTGCTGGTCCGGCTGCTCTTCATCAGCACCTGCAAATATCAAAACACACCTACATTTTAATCACAAACACATGTTTACAAAGAAAACTTTGGGAGGAAGCCAGAGAACATGGAAAAAAAACTGACACTAACACTAGCAATTTTGAGACAAAAAAAAAAATCTCTTAATGGAAAATTTAAAAATAGTGGGTTTGTGTATTTAGTCCTTGACGAGCAAGAGCAGGGGTAAAGAGCTGCCGGAGCGCACAGGATCAACGCTCTGCTAGGTTTATTTTTCCAAGAAAGGATTTGAACATAGAGCATGGCAGCTGAAATTCATATACATTTTTAAACAATCATCACTAAAGCATTTCAAGAGAGACAATAAAAACAAATGGGATGGTCAGAGCTATCATACTGATATTTATAGTAATGCATACCAAAGCATAGCACAGTATAGTAGTATAGTATTGTATCGCATAGCATAGTGCAGTATAGTATAGTATAGTATAGTATAGTATAGCATAGCATAGTGCAGTATAGTGTAGTAACACATAACATAACATAGCATAGCATAGCATAGTGCAGTATAGTGTAGTATCATATAGCAAAGCACAGTATAGTATAGCATAGCACAATGCAGTATAGTATAGTAACACATAACATAACATAGCATAGCATAGTGCAGTATAGTGTAGTAACACATAGCATAGCACAGTATAGCATAGCATAGCACAATGTAGTATAGTATATTAACACATAACATAACATAGCATAGTATAACACAGTGCAGTATAGTATAGTATAGCATAGCATAGTGCAGTATAGTATAGTATAGTATAGTATAGTATAGCATAGTATAGCATAGCATAGTGCAGTATAGTGTAGTAACATATAGCATAGCACAGTATAGTATAGCATAGCACAATGCAGTATAGTATAGTAACACATAACATAACATAGCATAGCATAGTGCAGTACAGTGTAGTAACACATAGCATAGCACAATGTAGTATAGTATATTAACACATAACATAGCATAGCATAGTATAACACAGTGCAGTATAGTATAGTATAGTATAGCATAGCATAGCATAGTGCAGTATAGTATAGTAACACATAACATAGCATAGCATAGTGCAGTATAGTATAGTAACAAATAGCATAGCATAGCATAGTGTAGCATAGTAATGTATAGCATAGCATAGCATAATGCAGTATAGTATAGTAACACATAACATAGCATAGCATAGCATAGTGCAGTATAGTGTAGTAACACATAGCATAGCACAGTATAGCATAGCATAGCACAATGCAGTATAGTATATTAACACATAACATAACATAGCATAGTATAACACAGTGCAGTATAGTATAGTATAGTATAGCATAGCATAGCATAGTGCAGTATAGTATAGTATAGCATAGCATAGCATAGTGCAGTATAGTATAGTAACAAATAGCATAGCATAGAAAAGTAAAGTATAGTATAGTATAGTAAAAAAAAAAATAGCATAGCATAGTACAGCATAGCATAGCATAGCATAGCATATTGTAGCATAGCATATGCATACACATATAGTGTAGTATGTATATGTAGTACATATCCTACCTTCAGACTCCGTCACCACCACAGTGAAGAACTTGATGGCTCCGTTCACATCACTGAACCAGCTGCAGTTAAACCTGAAGAAGATGGAGGACTTGCTGACCACAGCAGACTTGTCACTGACTCGTGTACTGAGGGGGGGCACCGGAGGACCTGAAGGAGTCATTAACATGTCAAACACAGAAGATAAATGTGTCCTTTATGTCATCACATATGAGAACACGTCACATTGTCCTTACGGTCGATCATGGTGACCACGCTGTACTGAGCCTCCTCACTGGTCGTCTGGTTGGAGATCACCTTAACGGAGATGGTGTAGCGTTTGTGGGGCTCCAGCTGGGTGATGAGGTAGGAGGTGGAGTCTCTGCCGGTGCGTCTGGAGTAGACCAGCACCTGGGAGTCCTGGTGGAGACACTCAATGGTGTAGGAGTCGTAGTCAGCCTCAGGGGGCCCCCAGGAGCAGGAGATGGAGGTGGAGCTCTGAGGACGACAGTGGAGGCTGTGGACTCGCTCCGGTTCTACAGCAAGAGACATAAATACAAATATTCACAATGCAACATTAATACACACAAACTCTGTGAACTCTATGGTAAATCTATCCATTTATCTGAGCCCAGAAATAATTTGACAATGGCAACAGAAAATAATTAAACACAACAGAAGATATTACTGACACACAGGAAACACATTTTTTTCTTTTATTTTCCATTGTTTATAAATACAGTATACATATCTCATTTTACCTTCTTTGGTTTGTTAATTTTTTCTTTAGATTCCCCTTTTTAATTTGATATTTTTTTCCAACTTGTGAACTTGTCTTTTCAGACTTGTGAACGGTAAAAGGTGGTCTCTGGTGACCATACACTGTATAAAAAGATAGAGGATATCACAGCTCCCCAAAACTGAAGCCAAAACATCAGGATCGCCCCCTGGTGGCTGGTTGCAGTATAGGTTATAAACCCCACCCCCTCCATGTTAGTGGATGGGACATGGGCCAAACTAAAACCTCAATGTACACATCAAATAAATAATCCCGAAATATGGTTTCTGTTATTTTAGATAGTTCAGTAAGTTTAGTTTAGTTTAGTAAGTTATTTAATGCTATAAAAAGGGCATTTTACATGATGATTAACAGCTGTGTGTGCCATTAGTGTGTTCGCTGCTAGTAGTGCTGCTCGCGATAGGTCGGACGGGTCTATTGGTGGGAACCTGATATCGTGGACCAGACCACTACTGTGCAGACTCTGGCTGCAAATGACATCACCAGCACAAGATGGCAGCAGCCGTATTCGAGATATTTTGGCTTCATTTTTGTACAGTGGGAGTAAGTGGAGATCCATTGTTATAAACAGTCTATGGTTCAGACTGATGAAGACATCCTAATATTAACAACTAACATTATTTAAATATATTTTGTATTTTCAGTTTGTTTATTCGTTTTAATGTTCTCAGGCCATCTTGAATTTAGAGGGACAAACAGAGCATTATAAATTGAAGTGCTGCCACCTACTGGTCCGGATGCTTTTGTAGATGGGTGTGCTATAGGTGGGTGTGGCCCCGGGCTGCGTGGCCCCGCTGACACTGCGGAGGCTGAAAGTGTAGAGTCGTCCGGGGAACATCCCTCTCAGGATGCGGCTGCCAGAGGTTCGGCTGTGGTACGGGTTGATAACGGACAGTCGGTCCCGAGGGGTCCACTGCAGGTCAAAGTCGTCATAGTCGGAGTCGATGGGGCCGCTCCAGGTGATCTCCAGGGAGGTGTTGGTGATCCCCGCGAACAGGAAGGAGGTGGGAGGTTTGGGAGCTGAGGAGGAGAGAAAGAACGAACAGATCAGATAGAAACTCTGATGATGGAGGGGACTCTGCACCTTAACTTCATGTCTAAGACTTCCATGCTATTCCATGATATTCCAGGACCATCATGCTGTGACGTCTCACCAGTCCTTCCCAGTGTGCTGGCTCTGTTGGTAAGTTCTCCGCTGACACTCAGCACCTCGGCCCGGTACAGTCGACCCGGTACCAGGCCTAAGAAGACAAACTCTGTGACCTCTGAGCCCAGCTTCTTTTCGGCCCGCTGAGAGCCGTCAGGGTTGTAGAGAAACAGCAGGTATCCGCTCAAATCACCACCGCCATGATCCCAGTTCACCCGCAGAGCATCAGACTGGTTTCCAGTGTGAGCCTTCAGAGACACCACAGCTGCAGGGACTGAAGACGAGATACAGGGCAAAGGGTTCAATTACAGCCTCTTCATAAACCTGTAAGTCCAAACTGAGGAAATACTGCTACAAATGTCTCAGCTTAATAATTATAATAAAAATAATAATAAAAGCACAATAAAAAGAAGGAGATTATTAAAACTATAACAAGTTCCTCCAGTCTTAATAGACAAACTCTCACCTGTCCTGGCCCAGACAGCTGACTGGTTGCTCTGCTCTCCGCTGTGGGTCACCACCACCATCCTGTACGGAGCTCCAGGTCTGAGACCCTGGAAGGAGCACTGCTGACTGCTGGGCTGTCCACGCCGTTTCTCCTGCAGCGCGTCGTCACTCTTGTACAAGAACATCTCATAAAGGTCGAACTCTCCGTCAGGTGGGGACCAGCTGAAGGACAGACTGGTGGTGGTGTTGGCTTTGACGGAGAGATCAGTGACGGCGGCAGGACCTGACAGGAAGGACATGAGACTGTTTTAACCATCACCGTGTTCTTTAACTTTTAATGGAAATGTCAGCACTTAATTATCAACTGTCAAAATATAAAAACTAATTTTCTCTACAAATTATTGCTTTTTTGACTTTTTAATTATTTTTTGTCTTTTTAAAATTAAATTTTCAATTAAAATTATGACTTCATTCATGATCAGCTTATTAACCAGAATTTATTCATATTATTACCTTTTTTTCTGGAAATAGTGCAACTTCTTTTCTTAATAAATTACCTTTTTCCCCTAGAATATAAAGTTTTTATTTGTCAAAATATTTCAACCTCTTTTTGTGACAAATTCTAAATTTATTCTCAAGAAAAATTGACTTAAATTTGACTTCTGAAATATTACTACACTTTCCTGTCTTTAAATATTCCAGCTGTTGTTTTGTTGACTGACAGCGACTCCACTACTGATCTAGAAAAGCACCTGTACCTTCTGAGTAAGAAACAGGAAGCCTTACGTGTCTGAGCCTCAGCGCTGACCCCTACGCTGTGGACCCCTCCGCTGGTGGTCTGAACCAGGACTCTATACTTCTTGCCCGGGGTGAGGCCGTCGAACCTGCACCTGGTGTGTCCGGACAGCTGAGAGGAGTTTGTCACCAGACTTCCTCGTTCATCCAGAACCTGCAGGACGTATCCGTCAGACACACCCAGAGCTTCCTGCCAGCTCACCTGCAGGCTGCAGGTGGAGTGGAGGTCCTCCACCTGGAGACCCGTCACTGCAGAGGGAACTGAACACAGGTATACAACTCAGTATACAGCAGTTACAGTATCAGTATATCATATTATACGTGAAGAGCAGTGCAGTACAGTGTCGTACCTGTGCGTCCTGTGGCCGTGTTGTTGTTGAGCAGCTCTCCGCTCACAGACTGAACCGTCACTCTGTACATCTGTCCAGGCTGCAGGGAGCCAAACATCACCTCGTTGTGGTGTTTGAGGACGGGCCGGACGTCCAGCTGTCTGTCCTGTCGGTAAAGGAACACCGAGTATCCGTCCACATCGCCCTGACCGGGAGTCCAGCTCACCTTCAGACTGCTGCTGTCTCCGCTGTTACTGACGTGGATGTTCTTCACTTTACTGGGAACTGAGGAGGGAAGAAACGCTTTAGACCACGGCAGCTTCTGTTCTGTTATGACCTGTACGATTAAAGAGCTGTAACACACTGTAACACCAGAAAGATCTTGTCCCCCTTCACTTGCGTCCTAATCTGACCTGTGCGGCCCTCGATGAACTGGGCCTTCTGGTTGGGTCCGCTGAAGGTGGAAACCAGGATCTTGTAGAGCCGTCCAGGTGTGAGCGATGACAGCACACATTCGTCCACACCACTGCCAAGAGTGATCGGGGGAAACACCTTCATGTCGTTGAACAGCAGCTGCACCTCGTAGTGATCCACGTCACCCGGAGGAGAGGACCACGTCACCCGCAGGTCCTCGGTACCCTGTCCAGCTAAAGCCAGGGACCGGACCGCCGCTGGGACTGCAGGACGGACAGCAGAGGAAGTGTTAGTCTGTCTGCAGACAACTGCCTCGCTTCTGAACTCAAAAAGTAATAGTTTCAATGTCATGGTCAGAAAATCATAACTTTACATGTTGTTATATATGAGAGGGGTCAAAGGTCACTCACAGGTCCTGCCGTGGGTGGAGGCGCTGGTTTCATACTTCCCGCTCCAGGTGCTCACCAGCACCGTGTAGAGTCTGCCGGGCACCAGGCAGGTAAACACACACTCGTTCTGCGTCTTTAGAACCGTCTTGTTTTGCAGGAACATGTTGTTGTGTTTGATGAACACCTGGTAGAAGTCAAAGTCTCCAGCGGCATGACGCCAGTACACCTTCAGGTAGTCGTCACGAGCAGAGTGGGTTGCTGTCGGGTTCTGGACCTGCGACGGCTCTGAGAGAGGAAGGAGTTAAAGCAAACCATTAAATAATCGATAAAGTTTGTAATGTTGTGTCATGCGCACATCCAGCCAGCACGGGGTTAATGAAACACCACATGTTCATATAAAGCTACACTACTGTTTTGTTCACTGTTATCTTCAAAGTCAGTTTGACCCTCAGTGGCAGCTGTACACAGACCGACCTGCAGTCAGCAGATACAGTAAGTGATGTACATACGTGTTCTCTCCTGGATGAAGGTGTGGTTCAGGTAGGTACCGCTGCGGGAGGTGATGGAGATGTTGTAGAGACGTCCGGACACCAGAGAGTTAAACACACACTCTGGACTGGATTTAGAGACAGAGACAGTGTGAAGTGTCTTCTGGTGGTCACTCAGCGTCACCAGATAACTGTCCACGTCACCTGGAGCCGCACGCCACGACACACTCAGGAAGTCCATGCGACCGTTGTTACTGACTGTGACCTCACCCACTGCAGCTGGGACTGAGGGGAGACAGGAGGGGAGACAGAGAGTTTTATTATTATTTACATTTTAGATTTCAAAACTGGATCTTGTTCACAGATGAAAGGTAATCAATATTTTATTTAAAAAAAAACACCTGAAGTGTCTCATCTATGAAGGCAGGACTTGTACCAGAATATTTCTACACTGTGGTGTCACTACCTTTTCTGAAGTAAAATATCTGAGCAGCTTTCTTTTCCCTCCTCTGTTCTTTATGGTATTTTATGGTTTTGCGTTTTCTGTGAAGTTACTAATTCTGGTTTTGATGAAAGTCATGTTCATTTATTTATTTATTTATTTATGGTAGGCCTACCAAGAGTAAAGAAACACTGAGTAACATGAACAGGTAAATCTTCTTGTTCTTTTAGAGTCAGATGTTTCATCTCAACTGGTTAGTTTAACTTAGCAAAAAGACTGAAAACAGGGGGAAACGGCTAGGTTAGCATTAAGACACGAAACAGGGAAACTGCTAGCTCAGCTTAGCAAAAAGAATGTAAAAAGGGGAACAGCTAGCTTATCATGAAGACTGGAAACAGGGGTAAACAACTAACTTAGCATAAAGACTGGGAACAAAAAAAAAAACAGCTATCCTAGCTTAGCATAAAGACTGGAAACAGGGAAACTGCTAGCTTAGCTTAGCATAAAGACTGGAAACAGGGAAACTGCTAGCTCAAGTTAGAATAAAGACTGGAAATGGGGAAACAGCTAGTTTAGCATGAAGATTGGAAACACGGAACCAGCTAGCTTAGCTTAGCTTAGCATAAAGACTGGGAACAGCTAGCTTAGCTCAGTATAAAGACAGGAACTAGAGGTAAACAGCTAGTCTGGCTCTGCAAACAAGTGCAGTTCCCGAAATGTTAAACTATGTCTTTAGAGATCAAGACTTTGTTCTTCCGAAATGAAGAGTAAAACAAGAAATAAATATTAACATCCTCTTTTAATAAAATGTTTAAGAACTTCTTAATTTTTCTTTATACAAAAAATCTCTTTGATCCCACTGATTATTTTTTGATGAAATTTTATTTTTTGGACCTGCTTCTTTTACTGCAGGTATAGATGAGTGTATGTCTTTATTATATTATCACAGGTGGAAAAAGAAGAAGAAGAGGACAGAGTAACAGTGATGTGAAATAAAATGTAAAATAAACCAGTTTCACAATCATCAGAGATAAAGATGACATTCCTCTGAAGAATAAATCACACAGAATCTAAAAATGTTAATATCCAGTGTTGGTCCTGCTCTTCAACTAAATATCATTTATCCTCAGTTTGATTTTAATAGCGTTTACTACAAAGTTTTAGGATGAATCATTTCAGTCTAATAAAAACTCTCTCATGCCCTCACATTTTATTTTATTTTGGTTTCTTTCATCTTTAAAGGTCCTCCATGACTGAGAAAATATTTTCCAGCAGTAAAATGTTAAGCGTTCGTCTTGTAATTTAACAATGAAGCTCGTCCTCGTCCTAACAGGAAGTCTCTAACGGACGGGAAGTCTCTGACTGACGGGAAGTCTCTGACTGATGGACCTTCACAGGTTTTTTTGTGTTGCTGTCGACACTTCCTGAACATTCCAGACAAATTCCTGCTTTTCAATAATATCCTGCACACACACACAAACGCACGCACTCTCTCTCTCACACACACACACACACACGGGGGGGGGGGTCTCAGATCAACATTATATTATTATTATTATATTATTATTATTATAACGGTGTCAGATCAACATTAAACACAAGGCCATTGTGTTGTTGTGATTATATGTTGTTATATAATGTGTTGAACAAACAACAAAGATAAATAACTCAATGTCTTTTTAATCTGCAGACAGCAGTGAACCTGAGGAGTCTAATCTGGGGATAAATTATGTAAATAATGTATGGTGTATGTTGTCCTCCCAGCTGTCCCCAGATGTGTCCCCCTCAGTCTTACCGGTGCGGCCCTCTGCCACAGCCTGTCTGGAGATCTGTCCGGCTCTGATGGTGGTTAACACCACCTTGTAGAGAGCTCCGGGTCTCAGAGTGTGGAAGGTGATGCTGGTGGCATCAGCCTCCACGCTCTCGTTCTTGATGACACTGCTGTCATGGACCAGCAGGACACGGTACGAGTCCAGGTCTCCGGAGGCTCGCTCCCACTGCGTCTGCAGGCTGTCGGTGCTGCCGAGGTTAGAGACCTGCAGCGTGGTGACTTGAGCCGGACCTGACAGGAACCACAGAGAGACTTAATGAACTGACAGAAGAGATGTCATGTAAATATTTTACGGGGTGTGTTGTCGTATCCTCCTGAGACTCAAACCTTTGTTTGGTATGTTTTTTAATTTCTCCTAGTTATTTGGGATCAGTAGGACCTGATAAGCATAAAAAATAAACATTGTCATTCTGTAATTAAGTCCCAATGTCCTCAAACGAGCACTTACTGATTAATAGCATTTTTAGCTTGTTTGCTAAAATTGGTCAAATTTGTTGCCGTATCAAACTACAAACATTATTAATCACAAATAAACAAGTTTCAACCATAAAATGTGATCAGGTTTTGGACCTTGTCACTTTTGTGTCGGGATTGGCTGCAGACTGACTTGGCAGAGATGGCTGCCATCTTGTTTTTACATGGATTAGTGTATTGAGCTCCTACTACCACTAGATGCCACTGTCCCTGAACGAGGACAACAGGTCTAAGTTAAGCAGAATGAAGTATAAGGTCAAGTAAACCCAAAATGTGACGACGACACAGGGTCTCAGGACGATATGGCAGAAAAAAACATATAATGTGAATAACTCAGACGTACTGGTCCGTGCGGTCACAGAGGCAGAGCTGGTCAGATTGCCAGAGTTGGTTGTCACGGTGACGGTGTACAGGCGTCCTGAGGTGAGGATGTTAAAGGTGCAGTCTCTAGCGTCCCAGGGGAGAATCCTCTGAGCCACGACGGTGGCGGGGTCCGCCTCTATGACGACTACAGTGAAGTCGTCCCACTCACCGACTGGTCGACTCCACTTGACACTCAGAGTGGTGTCATCAGTGTGACGGATGAGCAGCTGCTGCACGGGACGAGGGGCTGCAGCAACAAATCAAATAATAATAAACTAAATATGTTGTTGTTTTTTTAATCTTTATGTTTTTTTTTCTTTGACGTTCTAAACATGTGGCGGTCAGACTCTGTGACAAACACACTCTTAACATGACAGTGACAGAAGGTGAGGATGTGAACTGACCCAGTCGTCCTTCGCAGCGCACCGTGTTACTCAGACTGCCACTGTGAACCGTGACCTCTGCCCCGTAGAGTCGACCCGGCACCAGGCCGAGGCCGAAGGTGGAGAAGGCGTGCTGTCTGCTAGGTTTACTGATGGTCCGGTTCACCAGAACCTCTGAGCTGTTCCTCAGCAGGATGCTGTAGTTCTCCCAGTCTCCTCTGGGGGGTGTCCAGCTGAGCATCAGTGTCCTGCCATTACCCAGAGGCGTCATGGAGAGAGACGACACCGGCTGAGGGACTGACACACGATGGGGAACTGTCATTAAAACACAGACCACAGACTGATACACCTGTCAGCTCATGTTGATCCTGAACACGTACCTGTCCTCCCACTAGTCCTGGTCTCTGAGCTCCGTCCTCCAGCCATGGTCTTTACACACAGCTGGTAGCTGCGACCGGGGGTCAGACCCTCAAACACCACCTGAGTGATGTTGGCAGGCAGGAGGCGCTCCTGTGGCGTCCACCCCACAGCGGTCAGGGTCACCAGGTAGGCGTCCACACCTCCTTCAGGTGACAGCCAGGAGGCCTGCAGACTGTCTGAGCTGCCATTGTTGTCCAGCTGCAGATCTGAGACCAGTGCTGGGACTGAAAGGGTTAAAGAAAGATACAGATTATAAACTTAACTTTATTCTATCTCATGTCTTACAAAGCTGCTTCTGCATCCCTTAATATCCACCTGTGACAGCCTGTATGGAGGCAGAGCTCTGCAGGCCGACAGCCTCCGTTACCACGGTGACGTTGTACAGAGTTCCTGGCTGCAGGCTGTCCAGCTCAGCGGAGGTCACTGAGTTTGGCAGAGTGATGTTCTTCAACAGAACGGCTTCCTGATCTGTCAGCAGAACCCTGAACTGCTCAGCTCTGCCCGGACCGACCTGCCAGGAGACACTGAGGCTGTCTGCGGACAAGGACGCCACCTGGAGGCTGCGGACAGGGGACGGAGCTGCAGGACAGAGACAGGAATACAGTTTATGATGAGTCATAGAGGGATGTGTCTGTGTGTCTGCAGATGTTCGAACGCAGCAACAACTGTTCATGTGATTAAAATAGAAGATAATAAAACTGAACTACATGCAGAGGAGAGATACGTTTTTTAATTTAAAATGTAGATTGACACAATCATAAACATTAAAAAAAAAACACAATCTGAAGAGTAACAGTGTTGATGTTATGTATTGTGTTGCATGACGTTGAGTAATGGCCAGAAAACATTAATATGTTGACCTTTGACCTATTGGATATGAAATGTCATCACTTTGGTATTTGATTTGTGCCAAATTTGAGAAAACTCCCTCAAGACCTCCTCAGATATCACGTTCACAAGAATGAGACAGTTGTAAGATCACACTGACCTTTGACCTTTGAGCACAGTTCACTGCTGAGTCACAGTGGATGTCGGTGCCAAATCTTTAAAAATTCCCTCAAGGTGTTCTTGAGATATCGCATTTACAAAAACGGGACATACAGACCGACGGACAAACGAGGCAACATTAATGCCTCCAGGCGCAGCTATCACCAAGGTGGAGGCACTATGAATGACAGTGTTCAGGTGTGAGAGGAGCATGATGGGTACTGTGGTGAGGACTGTGTCTCACCTGTAGCTGCTGTCCTCTGAACAGGTGGAGCACTCTTGTTCCCGGCTGTAGCCACCACGCTGATGGTGTACAGAGTCCCAGGGACCAGGGAGATGAAACCAGACTGGGGAGCTGCAGAATCCATGATTCTGGTCCTGCGGGTGGATCTGGAGCTGGAGTCTGCCAGAGTCACATCATACCAGTCCACATGACCAGCAGAACGAGACCAGGACACCCGCAAACCTGGAGCACCTCTGTGAACCACAGACTGGCTTCTGTACTCAGGCTGAAGCTTGTCCAGCTGGACGTCCAACCAGGCTGGACCGACCGGCTCTGAGTGAGGACAGAGGACAGGGTCAGAGGACAGAGGTCATCGATCCATCTTTATAATCTCTTAAACCAACAGAGAGATTTCATACACATCTAAGATCATCATGAAGTCTGAGTGACACATGTAAAAAGTAAGGAATCCCACACTCTGTGCATCACCTGAACTCACCATATAAACACCACAGGGCTACAGTCAAATTATGATTTATTTAGATTATATTAGATAATCACATTTCAGCAATTATAATTCCATAACTCATTCATCATATTTAATCCCTGCAAATAGGGATTAAAGGCAGAATAATTAATAATAATAATAATAATAATAATAATAATTATTCTTATCTATCCAATAATCAGTGCAATAATTTAACTGTGCGTTATTCTTTTCAGTATCCCAAAATGTATTCTTACCAACACCACACTTGAATGTATATTTAAATTGTACAAAATATTGTACATATTATTTCTTTTTCACACATATATATAGTAGTACACTGCAGCATAATACACATATTTTTATATCTTTACAAATTTTTCATACTATTATACAAACGTTTATATTTTTACATAATTCTTATTTTTATACTTCTTATTTCTACTTTCTTATAAACCTCTATATTTCCCCCTGGGGATGTTTTTCTGATTCAAAAAATTGTCAAAAAACAAAAAGAAATAAAAAATAAAAACAAGAAAAAGAGGCATCCTGTGATTTATCTGAAACACTTTTACTTGACTTGGATGTTAAAGGTCATGAGGTGAAAGAGAACTCATGAGGAAAAAACACTGATCCACTCAGAAAATCTCACTACACACACACACACACACACACATACACACACACACTATATCATTATATAATGATAATCAATAATCCAGAGTACAAACAGGTGACATGAACTCTTCTGTAAAATCTCACACTTCACTGAAGTTGTTGTCACACTGAAACTGAACTCCGTTCTTGTGTGTGTGTGTGTGTGTGTGTGTGTGTGTGTGTGTATCCTGTGTTTGTCCCGCAGCTGAAGGCCAACAGCAGCAGAAGATGGCTGAAGGTCGATAAGATTGTTTTAAAGAATGAGACGTTTTCATCGAGCTGGACAGGAAACAGAAAAAAAACAGAGAGGGTGGGGCCGGATGAGGAGAACGACCCCCCCCCCCCCCCCAATGCTGAACTGTGACCTGTTCTTAATAATGCTTCCTCCCTGAGGAGACTTCACTGCTTCCTGTTGGCAGCTCAGTGACACCCTGAGGACAAAATGTCCGACTCTTAACGCCACAAATTCAAACGCCTCGAGAAACATTTTGTTCCAAAGTGAGAAGTGAAATCAGAGGCGGAGGAAGTGTTTACATATTTACATCCTAAAAATACTCGCCTACATGTAAAAGTCCTGCATTAAAAAACCTTGCTGATGTGAAAGTATCTAAGTATAGTCAGCAGATTAAAGTTAAAGTCAGCATGTTGCAGTAAACTGTTCCATACTGTCAGTGTTTTTTTTTTGGATTAATATTACTGCTGCATTATTGTGTATGTGTCATTTTCCTGATGTAGATGTTTAAGTGACGATGCATTTACAGATTGCAGTTATCATCTGATCTGACATCTGTCTGACAGCCACATCACCTCTGTGCAATCTGTGTGTGAAGAGGAGGAGGAGGTCTGTGAGCTGAGATGAAGAGCACTGACTAGCTGAGGTCTCATTTACAAAACAGTGTGTAGGATCCATACAAGAAATGTACGCACAGAAAAAAGCTAAAAACGGTGTGCGACCAAGAAATATTCGACAGTTTCTACAATCAGGCTTCCACCTCACCATCTGCATCGCAAATTTCCTGTCACCAGAATCTTCATAAGCATGGGTCAAAGTCTCTCACATCAAGTCTGTTTTTATAGATCACAACTTTTGCATGGGAAGTGACGTACGCCACTTTCAGGCCTCGTTTTGTGCATACGCAATGTTTGTAAATAAGACCCCAGGTCAGGGTTTATACTGTAAAACTTAAAAATACAAGCCCAGTCCCTTTTAATAGCCCGCTGTGGCGACACATTTTGGCCTGTCTTAATTAGAGGCCTGGTCTGGTTGCTAAGCAGTTCCTTTTTATAGAAGTTCTTCGGATGTATAGAGCCAAGTTGTTGCCTACCCACCTGAGCTAATGTTACTTAGCTGCTTAGATTGTACATACAAATATAACTGTTTAAACTTTTGTCAGTATGGAGATGCTACACATCATTGGCTCAGTAAAGATTCTCCACAATTCAACTGTTCAGTTTATTTTACCGGAACAATGAGCACCAGAGATTTACTGGCACTATGAAAACAAAGGTGACTCCTTTCCTCTGAGGCGACCATAAATTAGTAAGTTATTTATATTCCTTTAGTCCGTAAGTTTCCACTGATGAAAAGAATCAAAAGGGTTTCTCATAAAGATTAATCCAAGTTGTGAGTATTGTTTTAACAGGATAAGGTGGTGTTGGGTCTGTATGACGGGTGCCGTAATCCTCGAGTGCTGTAACTCTCTCTCTGATGCCTTGTCTGTTGGAGTGAGATTAAATGAAAGACGGACAGTTTGAGTCTGATCGTTTAAAAATAATAAAGTCATGAACCTGTTTTATTAAAGCCTAAGTCAGTGGTTCCCAACTGGTGGGTTGCGGTCCAAAAGTGGAACACTGGTCCATTCTAAATGGACCGTAATTGACTTGCAGACCTTTTCCTGAAGTGCCGTTTGCTGCTGTGTGAGTGACTAATGGACAGCTACTGGACAGAGACGGCAAAGTAGCTCAATGACATGACCAAATGCAAGTATGACACCAAAAAAGCCTTTACCAGGAAAAAAAATGGTAGAAACTTCAGGAAGAGCAACTGAGGAGGGATCCCTCTTCCAGAACGGACAGACGTGCAATAGATGTTGTACAGAACAGATCAACATAATAGATGTACAGTGATCCATGTGATGATATGATGCATTAAGAGAGACAGAGACAGAGAGAGAAAGGGAGACGGAGACAACTAATGACTAAGGAGAAATCTGCTCGATCCGTTGGGAACCGATGGCCTAAGTTTCAGTTCATGTTGAAGGAACAAAGTTTACAGAAGCAGAAACTTGATGTCTAATAATGCAAATATACATGTGAGCTCTGTCTGACCTGTGCGCACAGACGCATCGCTCCTCTCTCCATCAGTCCTGGAGATGACCGTTAAACCGTACAGAGTCCCAGGATCCAGTCCCGTGATGTGACAGGTGAAGCTGCTGCTGTTCTCTCCATCCGGGTCACAGTGAGCAGGCTGAGGCTGGGATGCGTTGTCAGTGGACAGGCTGAAGTCACAGGACAGGCCGGCGGTGATGAACGTCACCACGACAGAATTAGAAGTCGAGCTGATGTCCGTGAAGTTTACAGAGCAGAGGGAGGCCTGAAACAGGAAGTGACATCATCACATGTGAGACTGGGTGATTGTAACTGACTCATTGTGTTAGTATTACTAAGTAGGGCTGCCCCCTAATAGTCGAACCATACCGTAGTCGACCAGGAAGGTCATTAGTCAGCAAGATTTCATTGGTTGCTTAGTCGCAGAAAAAACAACAAACATGAAACTCTATTAGGAGTTGTGCCTTGTCAAAATAAATCTAAACCTATATGACTGGACCATTCAGGAATTTAATTTGAAAGGACAGACACAGGAAGTGTCCACACTCAGCAGTCAGACAGGAGTCAGGTTAATTTCCAGGGCTGGTACCTGCGGTTATTCCACAGGCTAGTTAATAACATGTCGGGCAGGAAATCCAAAAGTGTGGGATCATTTTGAGAAGGTGAAGGACGAACCCAAGGTGATATGTAAACTCATCTTCATTGGTCGACTACAAACATGACGTATCATCTGAAACATGGAAGTAGCTACATGCCCATTAGCCCACAGCGTCATTAACAGGCGGCTCGCTCAGTGTGTGACATGAACTTGTAGATAAAATATAGGCCTATATTAATGAAGGTTCATTAGTAAGATTTTGTATTTCTCTGTAATGTAGCACAGTGTTAACAATGTTACTGATACTATTCTTTCTCACACCTTCAACTCAAACCATTGTGTTGCCCCGCCCAAAATATATCTTTTAATTATTAAATTAATATCACAAACATGCAGGCGACTAGTCGACTAATGGCCCTAAATGACGACTATTGGTCAACTAGGAAAATTATAAGTCGGGACCAATTGAGGTTACTCTGGAGAATGCAAATTGGATGGTATTTGTCATTGTTTTGTATTGTTTCAGTAATAATAATAAACATACATTTGGATAAAGCGAGCATATTTGTCCACTCCCATGTTGATAAGAAGGTAAATTAGAACGCATAAAAAAATGTGCAATTAATCGCGAGTCAACTATGGACAATCACGCGATTAATCATGATTAAATATTTTAATCAATTGACAGTCCTAAAATTAATATAAAAACATTAGAAAAATATGTGTTATTAAACAAAGAAAATCAATGAACTCAAAGTAATAGACAAACTCGGGGGGGCAGCATGATGATCATTAATCAATGACGTCACGTTAGCTCCTCTGCAGCACTCCAGTGATTACATCATCATGTGAACACGAACAATCGGAGCAGCATCTGAAATTTGTTTCCTTATTACATCATTTCATATTTAATGAGTTAAAGGTTGCATTAACATCTGCACAATAACTAGAATTATCATTATAATCATTGTGTTTTAATTATGAGAGATTTAAGTGCATCTCAGCAAACATGATCTTCAGGTGTTTCGAGGAAACAGAGACAGAGTCTATAGACAGCAGGATTCATGTTACATGACATTATATTCTGCCTCTCAGGGCCCCCTGTGGCCCTTCAGGCCCCTGGTGCCCCACACATCAGCCTGTTCTGCTCTGACAGACTCCAAACACACAGATCTGGTGACTCACCCCGTTTACACTCCAAAATAAAAGTATCCAACACGTGGTGGCGCATGAGAACATCGCGGCCTCTGATTTAAATCCGTCCGGTCAGTTAATGAAACATGAAGACGTTTCATCCCCACAGGAGCTGACATACCGACAAGTTTCACTTAGAAAACTGCGCCTCTGGACCAGACTCCAACCACATCTACACCTTCATCCTCACAGCCTGCAGCTTCTCCTCGACTGATGGGGTTTGGTTTTATTAACAAAAAGATCTGGAGTTTTTCTTTTTTATAAATCACGCATCGTCCTGCAGATTTTCCTCACATTCATCACACAGTGTGGACCCTTCTCTCTTCATCCATCAGTGAACTCTCAGAGGCAGCAGGCCAGTCCGGCTCCCTGCAGACCCGCACCCCGCCCTGCCTTCCTTCCTGCCCGCCTCGGACTTTCTCTGACGACCTTTAGCATCAAACTGAGCTCCATCAATCACAACGCAACTATTGTTATAGTTATCCAATCAGGAGGCGGCCTCAGATCCTGTGCCACAAAGAGGCTCCAATAATAGAAACATCTGGAGGAATAATCTCAGCAAAGATATTTAATAAACTTATATTTTATAGGAGAGGCAGTGTGAACTGACCTGATGCAGCTTTGTAGGATTTAACTCTTGGTTCCTGATGTACAGTCTTACACACACTCAGGGTGTAAAAACACAGTGACATCAGGTCCTGATTCAAATATCTACACCTTTAAAATGAAACATTTAGCAAACAGATTCAAATGTAAAGCAACAGCAACACTCACAGGTGAAGAGGTGGTTGATCCTGAAGTCGTAGGTGCAGGTGTAGTTGGAGGAGGAGGAGCAGCTGTGGTTGTTCTGGCTGTTGTTGTAGCAACAGGTGTCATACTGGTTGTGGTTGTGGGTTGAGTGGTCTTGATGGTTGTTGTCATGGCTGCACTTTCTGTTGTTGTAGGTGTGGTAGTGGGCGTGGTTGTCGTCGTAGGAGTGTTTGTTGGACTTGTAGGTGGGACTGTTAGAGTTGAGGTGGTGAGCCATCCAGGAGGCACTGCCCCGGCTGTTGGAGACATCGTGGTGCTCACTGAGAGTGTTGTATGAACTGTAGAGAGCGTTGGCAGTGTCGAGGTGACTGTGGACGGAGTCTGGGAAATGGTGGATGGAGGTGGAGGGGTGGATGGTGGCTGTGTCTCCATGATGGATGTAGAGGTCTTATCTGCTGTTGAAGGTATGCGAGCAGTTGTAGGAAGAGGGGTAGTTGTAGGTGGAGGGATAGTTGTAGGAGGGGTTATCGTTGTAGGAGGAGGTGTGGTCATAGGAGGAGATGTAGTGCTGGTGGATGCAGGTGAAAGGTTGTTGTTAGTAGTTGTACAAGTTGTGTCAGAAACAGCAGATGAACCAACGTTAGCACCAGAGGTCACCTCAGAGGTGGTGGTGACCTCTGTGGTGACATCAGCAGTGACCTTAGAGGTGACGCCAAAAACTGTGGAGGACACCAGTGTCACAGCTGCAGTTTCAGACTCAGGATCATTTCTAATAGAGGAGGAGGACATGGTGGAGGAGGAAGAGGAGGAAGAAGAAGACATAGTGGAGGAGGAGGAGAAGGAGGAGGAGGAGGAGGAGGAGGAAGAAGAGGACATGGTGGAGGAGGAGGACGTGGTGGAGGAGGAGGAAGGGGAAGACACCAGAGTCACAACTGCAGTTTTTGACCCAGGACCATTTCCAATGGAGGAGGAGGAGGAGGAGGAGGAGGAAGAAGAGGACATGGTGGAGGAGGAGGACGTGGTGGAGGAGGAGGAAGGGGAAGACACCAGAGTCACAACTGCAGTTTTTGACCCAGGACCATTTCCAATGGAGGAGGAGGAGGAGGAGGAGGAGGAGGAGGAGGAAGAAGAGGACATGGTGGAGGAGGAGGACGTGGTGGAGGAGGAGGAAGGGGAAGACACCAGAGTCACAACTGCAGTTTTTGACCCAGGACCATTTCCAATAGAGGAGGAGGAGGAGGAGGAGGAAGGGGAAGACACCACAGTCACAACTGTAGTTTTTGACGCAGGACCATTTCCAATAGAGGAGGAGGAGGAGGAGGAGGAGGAGGAGGAGGAAGGGGAAGACACCACAGTCACAACTGCAGTTTTTGACGCAGGACCATTTCCAATAGAGGAGGAGGAGGAGGAGGAGGAGGAGGAGGAGGAGGAGGAAGGGGAAGACACCACAGTCACAACTGTAGTTTTTGACCCAGGACCATTTCCAATAGAGGAGGAGGAGGAGGAGGAGGAGGAGGAGGAGGAAGGGGAAGACACCAGAGTCACAACTGCAGTTTTTGACCCAGGACCATTTCCAATAGAGGAGGAGGAGGACATCGTGGAGGTGGAGGAGGAGGAGGAGGAGGAGGAGGAGGAGGAGGACATGGTGGAAAAGGAAGAGGAGGAGGAGGCAGTGGAAACTTCTCTGTGTTCTGATATTGTCTCTGCTTCAGTCCTGAGCTGAATCACTGTATCTGGCGAGCTCTCTGATTCATGTGAGGATCGGTCTGTGGTGGACGCAGCTGGACTGGAGGAGACAACATGGCTGCCGTTTAGAGCTGACAGCTCCGTGACCGCAGTCGAAACGTCAGGACTGAAGTCTGTAGTGACGGACCTCCTGGTTCGAGGGTTGGTGATGTCGTTCTTGTGCGTTGAAGCTCTGTCGGTTATTGAACTGTGGGCTTGTGAGGCCGTGACTTGTCTGGTGGTGCGGTGGGTTTTTACCGTGTCTGATACTCGGTCATTAGTGAGGGTCACTGCAGGACCTGTGATGGTGTAGACGGTGCTGGAGTGTCCCAGGGGTTTATGTGTGGAGGAATAAAAGATGGTGGAGACAGAAGTAGTGTCTGAAAAACAAGGAGTAAAGATTGTGAGTGAAATGATTATAAAAACATAAACAAAAATATTTACAGAGCAACTTAACTTCATTTTATCATCACACATTTTTACGCATATGAACCCGACACACACATCTCTAAATTTCTCTTTAACCTCCTGCAGCCCTATGAGGACACTAAGGTTTACGTCAGCTCTACGCAGACCCTACACTGTAGCCTACGCTGTTGTGAGCATTTATACTTGTGCGGTGTGTCTGTGTCACTATACAGTTACACCTCCAAAACACTGGTTGGCGGTGGAGGTTTCTGTGAAGTGCTGTAAAGTTTAGCTGATTGAAAACACACATTAAACACACATTAAACATGGCTTAATAGAGACCTTTTCAAACACAAGTACACAAATCAACTTCACTATAACTCGTAGCATTCACAGACAAACACTTGTCTTTATCTGAACACATTTTCCCCACAAATACAACATGCTAATGTTTTTAGCACAAGTCTATGGCATTTTACATTGTATAAATTAGCCTAGCAGCTAGCAGACTTTTCTTCATCTCATATGAAGCCAGGGACAACAGCAACATTTAACAAAGGAAAAGTTACAAAATTCAGCTCCATTACAACTCAAAAGGTTCACAGACAAAAAAACTATCTTAAAATAAACAAGTTTTCCAAAAAAATACAACATGCTAACATTATTAGCACAAGCCTATGGCATTTTACATTGTATAAATTAGCCTAGCGACGAGCAATGATTTCCTCTTCTCATATGAAGTCAGGATAAATCACACAAGACTTGAAATGCTATTTTGTGGAGGCTTTATTGTCTTCATTATTTATTGTTTCTTATCTGTGAAACAAAAGTAAATAAAAGCTTTGTTTCCACTGAGGGAAATGGTTTCAGCTTACAAAAATTGACTGTGTTGAATTGTCTGTGTTGCCGTGACATGTAGTTACATTTCTGGGGAGGTGCATGTCAGGCTACGGCTTAGTACGGCGTAGGCTCCACATCAACGCAGAGCCTAAGCTGTAGATGCAATGCCGAATTGACACAGAGGTATAAATCCCGCATTATACTTAATCTGCTCAACTTAGATCTGATGTCCGAAATAAGAAAACCATGGTGCAGATGGGTTTTCCTTTTTAAGGACATACATAGCAAATGGCATCGTTTTAATACTAATAATATTCTCTGTTTTTATTATTCATCTTTGAATACAGATATATTTCCAAGGTGGCAATCTGAGACAATGAAATGCAAATGCCTGCTCTCTCCAGGGGCCCCAGTGCAATCACACTGCCTGCACTGTCTATATTTAACCCCCTGGTCACCATCACTAAATTCTTGACTCAGAGATGAGACAAACTGCACGCTGCTTCCTGACCAATCACAGTCTGCGGTCTCTCAGGAAGGGGTTGCCAGGGACCAACATCCACAAATACAAATAAACAATGTAAACAAATAATAGCATATGAAGTTGTGTATTTGATGCTGGCTGTGTTCAGAAAAGCCTAAAAGAAAAAAGACAAACGATGGTCACCTTTTCTCTGTTCCACCCAGAGCTACTCAGCGGTACGTAGTACGAGCACTTCTACATTTTACTGTTTGGTGCACTGTGACTTTTTCTTTTCACCAGCTGCTGGTGCTCTTGGGCTCTCTGGGCCACTCATAATGTCCCTAAATTAACTGCATTACCCAGGGGGCTTGGGGCCACTATGTGATGCACCTCCTTGATTCACCTGTTAGCCAACTAATGTAATGTTAGCATCAGCAAAACTACCTGCAGCTTTCACCACCGCAAGTGATGGTTCACCCGCCACCAGTGAACCAATTTATGAAACGACTTCAGGTCCCATTATGGTTCACTACAGGGGATAAAACCGTCAACTGTCTAATAACAGTTAGCAATATTTAAATTATTTTCCCACTGTTAATGTCTGTCGGCCTCAGACTGCGTCCACACTGGTAAGCTTCATTTTAAAATGACACACACAAGCATTTTAGATCCATTACGGAAATAATCTCCATGCTAAAAATCCCTCAACAACAAACAAACTGTAGCAGCATACAGTATGTGCAAATTTGCAAATTTCTTTTCCTTCTTCTCTTTCTTCTTCTTCTTTTGTTCTGTGCCCAGGATGGCTATTGCTTTTCATTTTCTCTTACTCTAGCGCTCTCCAAATACACTCCACTCCATCATAACCATCAACGCTCATGCATGTTCTGACTGTGATGAATTTAGGAGTCATTTTTTTCAGAGTGATTCTCAACTGATGATTTCAGCACTACTAAAGTGCAGATGTAGATGAGAAAGGTATGCAGGTGTTCAGTATGTGAGTGCCACCAAGTTTCTTCTTCTTATTTGTCAGCCTGGCTGAGACTCCGACAGGAAGTACAGAGCTGCTGACGTTCTTCCTATTCTTCTGAGTGAACCAGCAGACAGCAGCAACAAACAATGTGAGGAGGGAAGTCTTGGACTCACACTCACTTCCTGTTTAACAGGTATCACACCAGGTAAACTTCAGGAACACACTTCATTGTTTCGCAGAACCTTGACAGGAAGTGATGTCACGACCTCAGCTCTCCAAACAAGATTTATTAAAAAATGGATTAAACTTAAACTTTAATGACTCTCTGTCATCTCAGCAGCAGTGGAAGAACTACTCAAATCTTTTACAGCAAGAGCGAGTCAGTCCCTGTCGACTTTCGTGTTAAAATGACTAACTCTACAGCAGAAACAAACAGTTTCAGTCTGGTCTCTGTAATTCATGACTTGTCATTCGTGATTTTAAATGAGACTTGTAAAGAGCATCCCATCTTATTCGACAGCAAATATTCTCTAAACATAACCTTGAAATGAAATAGCTCCGTGGAAGTACACAAATGGCAACGAACTTGCCAACACAAGACCCAATGCCTCCTTGGACCAGAGTACTGCCAAGAGCCCAGCTGAGAAGACCCCACTCTCAGCAGATTCAGGAGAGATGGACATTCCTGGTGTGAAATCAGATGTCCTTTTCTCACTTAAAGTGGACATTTCAATGGGGACAAAGTCAGAGCTTAAAAGCGACCTCACTTAAGATTTCAACTCTCAAGAATGAGTTGACAGTTACACATAATTAGAGGTAAGGATGTTGAGTGACTCGCTGTCTACAAGACATCACTACAGTTTACAGCCTCTTTTACACTGCCTTTTCAAGGCGGGAATATCACACCATTATTCTGCCTCACCATTCTGTGTAAAAGGTACAATCGCAGGATGGGAGGACGGAGTTGTGCACTTTCAAGCCAAGTAGAGGTAGTGACAGTGCCAAATTAACGCCTGTGTAAAATGGACGGCTAGCAGGATGGGGCCATGGACGGGACCAGTCTGAAGTGTTGATGACGGATAATGTGTGCAGCCAACTGCCAGGTGATTTACAAAACAGCTGGCCAACACATTCTCACTTTGACCTCGTAACATTTCGATGTTTGGTCATAGACCTCCCACGTCTACATACGATGTACAAGGTACCCTGGATGCATTGGTTGTTGAAGTCCTGGGACACCAGCTCAAGTTCTGCCTGTTACATGCATTGTCTCAGGAAATTTAACATTTACATACAGTCTCTTTCAAAATAAAAGCACTACATCAGTACAACACTGCGAATTGAAGTTTTTTTTTTTTTTCCCTCCAACAACTAACACATGTGGTTAGTTTTAGGAAAAAAGAACAGGGTCTGGCTTTTTAATCTTACAGGATGAGAACACCACTCTCCCGGGTGAAAGTTGGTGTATGTTGAACCCATCCTCCACCCCTCCCACCAGCCCGACTTGGACTGTCACTGCCTTAACTTTCCTTCATGTCACTGTGCATATCCCCCTGACACCGCCAAGCACTATCAAACTACAACAGCGACCGCTGTGTATCGTGTCGATGTTAAAGGACGGCTTTTTTCGTCAGTGTCTGATGCTGCAAGTCACCGCCCAAGCGTTAGATTTCGACAACTTCAGAGTGTGACCGTCTTGAGCTGGCAGCAGTTAGCAGTTTGCAGCTAACTCAAAGAAGAAGATTAGAAACCAAAAATGTCAACAAACTGGGAAAACAACGAGGTCTGGGAGCTCCTTACCCTCCGAGCAGAAGACGAGATTAGCCGCCATCTAACAGGGACAATAACTCATTTTTATTGACCTGTTATGCCATTGTTATTGTTTAGAAAGCACTGCTGCCGCCATTGTTTGGTTCTGCGTAAAAAGTATGGCAGTCAAATGGATGCATTAATTTCAATTAATTAATCACAAAAAAAAAATAATGCGTTAAGAAAATTAACATTGATTAATCACGTTCCGTGGTGCCCTTTGACCAGGTGCGTCATTGAAGGCCACAGTGGCTTTGTCACATGATGGAGGCAGCCGAGACGATGCTGCTTGGCCCCATGAATGAAACATCTAAAAAAACGTCCAGATGGAACTGTTGATAGGAGCACTGTTCTCTGCAAATTCTGCAGTCAGGAATTTTCGTACCATCGGAGTACCTCAAGCCTGAAATATCACCTAAACGGCAAGCATTTAGCAGAATCTGTAAGTCCGAGCTAGCACAGCCTCTGATGCTAGCACTAGCAGACAGCCTCGTCGAGCCACACTCGACCTACCTGTGACCGACTAACTAACTCCCTTACAAAATGGAATGCAGGCCAGTTTCAATGGTAGAGGACAGGGGGACAATTGTGTCCAAAATCAATGATCATTTGTGACATCACACTGGGTGTGGCTACAGGTGCAACACCTGTGACCTCACCCTGGTGTTGAGTTAAAGTTAAGGGCAGGTGTGTCGTGGTTCCTCTCACCTGTTTGGGGACATAAAGACGTCATCAGCTCATTCCCTCCTGAGTCAACTTCATACTTCCTCCACTTTGAAGCCTGCAGGTTTTCTCCAATCGTGACGCGTGATCCCATTTTCCTCAGGTACATGTGAGTGTCAGCCAATCCAAATGCTCTGGTGGTGTTGTAGCACCTCCACGCTGGCGCTGTGCTGCAGTCGCTCAGTTTAGCAAGGCGGGCATGGCGCGGCAGCTGGGAGCTGGGGTCGGCCCAGAGACACCGGGAGGACTGAGTGTGAAGCAGCCTGGCTCCGCTCAGCCACGCCCACTGCTGGCCGGGGTTAGTGGCATCACAGTGTCCCAGGAAGACCACGTGATTTCGGGTGAAGAGACACAACCTCTTTGGGGTCAGCACGATGAGGAAACCAGCTGAGGAGAGACGAGTTCATATCAGTTCATCAAAAGATCATTTCATAATAATAATAATAAAGTGTCAGTGTAACTAAGACGTGCAGACAGTTTTGCTTTAATGTTTCAGATGATACTTTCTGACTTTGGCCTCCACCTAAACACAGAAGAGGTGATTGGATTTTTGTTTGAGGAGCAGCTACTTGTTGTACATCTAATTTCTGCTGAAGAACAGGGAAAGTTCTTCAGCAGAAAGCAGTTGTACAACAAGTCACATCTGTTGGTGACGTCTTTGGATCATTCAGAGTGATCAGGATGATGGATGGATCATATTTAGGAGTGCACACTGACTTGATTCACCTCTATCATATCGGATGGCATCAAAAGTTTCTGTCTAGATGTATAGGTTCTCTATTCGACTATGGATTCATCACCCTCATTAAATCAAACCATCTCTACAGGGTCTAATCGCCAAAGACTTTCCACATTCTTATTCATACGTTCACATGTTAATAAATATTCTTTTACCATAAAAACGAGTCTCTACTGATTGAAATAGCAAAAACCTCTCTATACTGATGTCACTTTTAGCTCAGTCATACCTACATGTAAGTTAAGTCATGGCTGACGGTGAATTTTTGCATAGTATTTACAATATTTCTACATTTTCCGTTGTAAGATTATTATTTAAAGCTCATGCCACTGACATTTCACTGTCTCACAGTCCGAAACACTTCTGGTCCTGTTTCATCTCATATGATATGAAGTACTTCATTCATGGTTCTGGTGATTCATTTTTTTCCATAACCACGTATCCCACTGGGGGTCGTGGGGGGCTGGAGCCTATCCCAGCTGACATTAGGCGAGAGGCAGGCTACACCCTGGACAGGTCGCCAGACTATCACAGGGTTAGGTTCTTAGTCACTCATAATTAACACCCCCGCCTCGTTCACATGAAGGTGCTTGTGGCTGGATAGGAAAACCCAGAGTTGACTCAGCCGGTTATCCAGACGACCAGTGTTAGGGTTAGTCAGACCAGATAACAAGAAGATATCCTGGGTAAGTTGGACTGGCTTCGTAATACAGGCCTAAAGTAAGGGGGAAAATATGTTTGTTTGTTGTAATGTCTATCTTGTTTTATATATATTATATTTTATTCCCATATTTTAACTTCTACACATTTCATGTTTGCAACTGAGATTTTCATTTTGACCTGCGTGTGTTACTTTTTATAGATTTCAGATAAAAATGATCTGTTGGAGGAGCCTGAGAACAAAGAATTGCCAATTGACTGCTTCACTGTACGTCACTTCCCACGCAAAGATGTGATCTATAAAAACAGACTTGATGGGAGAAACTCTGACCCATGCTTACAAACATTTTGGAGACGGGAAATTGATGACACAGATGGTGAGGTGGAAGCCTGATTGTAGAAACTGACAAATATTCATTGGCACACGCCATTTTTGTTTTTCTCTGTATGCACATTTTTAGTGTGGATCCTACACACTGTTTTATAAATGAGACCCCAGGTTAGACTCTCATCGCTCTGATGGATGTTTATCACAAGCTCTGTCGCATTAAAATCAGCTTTAAAACAAGCAGTCAGATGTTTTTATGAACAACAAAAGACTCATAAATGAATGAATTAAAATGTTGGACTTATCTGTTTGTAAGATCAGCACTGTGGCGTAACAGTAGGAGAAAATGTCAGATTTCCCCTTTCATGCAAGAATTATGATGACTTCAGTCAAGATTTTTTTTTCCTAAGTGTTTTTATTCCTCTTTAGGCATTAAGAAAAGGAAGTTAAATTATGATAAATATGCATTTTTCTAGGAGTTTTCCTTATGTCCACTCAGATGGACAGTGTGCACTCGAGTTTAACTGAAGAAACCTAAACCCATGAATACATGGATATTTTAAGTGAAACTATAAAATACATTCTTAATGCTGTTACACAAGTGTGTTCACATGACATTTTAACATACTCTCTACTCCTCCCTTCTGTCCTTCCCTTCCTCACTCAACAGTAATAGTATTAACTGTAGTTGAAGTGCAGCCAGTTTAGTGGACAGATGATAAATTGTAATTTTCTCTCAACATAAAATCAGTCACTTGAATTTTCTACACCTGTGTTACTCCTTAAATGTTACTTAATATTACCAACTTCTGTTTACCTGCAAGGGTCTCCTTTTGTAGAAGGATTGTCAAGATATTCCTGAGCTACACAACATTTCTTGCATTCTGTCGGCCATTTTGGTTTTGAGAGATTTGTATGGCACACCTGGCCAGTGGGTGACGAGGTGTGGCGTCATGCACCAGGGTCCCCTGTAGTGACTTATATGCAAGTATTGCATCAAAACTCATTCATGCACATTGTGTGAAATCCTCTTCATGTCATCTTCAACAGTCACAAAACTTTCCTGATAAAACAGGTTCAAGTTCAGTAGATATTTAATAGTGACTATAGGCCAATAATAATAATTAATCTTCTACACAGTCATGTTTCAACACTTTCAACAAACAGAAATATGTTGGAGCACAGTTAGCAGGTTTCATGTCACGTCCGGTTGCAAACAAAAACAGCTCAACGTGTGACTTTGATTTCTCTGTGAAGCTGAAGGTTCTTTTGTTAGCAGTCATCACAGCACATACGTGTTATGGTTGATAGCTGTTAGCGTCATCTAATTTATTCCTAATCTTGAAAGAAGAGGACATTGAATTATGGTTATGATTATGATTGTTATGATTTTATTTATCACATTTATTATTATTTATCACAACTTAAAGGACAAGTTCACCATTTTTCCAGTCATGGTCAGGCATTCATGTGAACACAGCAATATTATTATTATCACTAAATATTGTATATTACTTATCATCTCCATTTTCTACATTTAATAATCAATAATAAGTGATGGCGTATTATTATAGATGAAACCAACCAGCAGTTTATAAAGTCATTAAAATTAATTGAACTGATACACACATTAATGCATCTATAATAATAATCCAATATTATGATATATTATCATGCATAATGGGTACTTTTAGTACTTCAAGTATATTTTAATTCTAATATAGATAATTATATAGAACTTTAACTTGTAACAGAGTACTTACACACTTTGGTGTGATAACTTTTACTAGAGTAAGCGAGGAAATGATGTAAAAGTACTTCTTACAATAAAACCCTCATTTAGTTAATTCATTTATATATTATTAATATTGTCAGTTTTGATTTCATGTTCACATTCAGAAAACACAGGCATCATTATTATTATTATTACTATTATTATTAATAACAATAATACTGTGTGATTATTTAGTTTATACAGGGTATCAATAAAACATTTGTTGGGTAGTAGCTGTACCGTGTGTACAAGAATAAGAATTAAAAAATAGCAACACTTTAGAAATGACCCTGCATTGAGTTTTTAATACGTTTTTTTCCGGGTACAGTGTTAGATTATTACTGTATATTATTACTAAAGATGCAGTAAAAGACTCAGTACTGAAGTACTATATTATGATTTATTAATAATATAAAAAGTTTGTAAAATGGTATATTTTTATTATTCTTATTCTTAGTCTTATTATGGTTTTAACATTTTGTGGATGCCTTTTAATGAAACATCTTTTGGCTGCTGGCTGCTGTTTGGACTTCTTCAATATGTTCTGTGTATTTTAAGAACTTACAGAGTCTTTTAGTTTTTGCTCCTTCAAAGGTTTAATTTGTTTCCTGGACTTCTTCTTGTGTACCCAGTAAGACCACAACAAAGTATTAGTATATAGTGTATAACTAACCTGGAGCTTCTCACAGAATCTGAATTCAAAAACCTTCATGAAAGAAGTTTGAGGACGTTCATAGTCAGTCACACAGATCACATCCCATGCAGTACATGTTAGAGTGTCAAAGAGTTCTTTATATATCCTGATCCTGATTCTGACACCGAACCACCACCACCAACACAATATCAGTGCAGTACTCACACAAGCAGCTGGATCTCAGGAGAATGAATAAAAGCAGAATCAGGGCGTTCATGTTTCTTCGTGCGTCCTCCAGCTTCAGATGAGCAGAATAGAAGAGCTGAAGGGAAGTGCGTCTTTGTGAGGAGGAAAAAGTCAGCGAGCAGCGCTTCCTTCTATTCAACTGCTGTGGAGGTTTGGTGGTGAACAAGTCGTCGGAAATACCAGAGTGCATCCCACATGTGCAGTTGTTCTAATAAACCTGCAGAAGAAGAAAACACCCAGCAGGGAAAGCTCCCACAAACACTATCAGTTATCTAACATTAGACAACAACAACAACAACAACAATAACAATAACAATACACAAAGAGCTCATGTGTTGTTTTTATTAAGCTTTAACAACATTCAACACAGATCTAATGATTTCCTGTTTAAAGTCTAATCATCTGCATAAAGTCTGACAACAATAATTTAATATGTAGAATTATTTCACATTCAGAGCAGACAGAGCAGTAAAAACATGGCAGTTTGTTTTCTGGATCATATTTTCAGCAGATTGCTAGAGAAACAAGGAAATGTTTAGAATGTCAGGAGTGCCAGAATAAGTGACAATAAATACAAAAATATTGCAAACTTTTTTCCTGTCCATTATTCTGTACATATTCCACAAAGTCTGGAGATTACTAAGGCCAAGATATCCCTTAGGAAAGTCACATTAAAGTTAACCTCTTGCTGGGGCAGCAGCTAAAAATTCAAAATGTTTGTAATATAAAAAAATAGCCAGGCGTCTGCAGTGATGCAGGCACTGCATCGGACTATCATGGTGAAGAGGGAGCTGAGCTGGAAGGCAACTTTTGATTTACTGGTCCATCTACGTCCCAACCCTCACCTATGGTCATGAGCTCTGGGTAATGACTGAAAGAATGAGATTGCGGGTACAAGTGGCCGAAATGAGTTTCCTCCGTGGGGTGACTGGGCTCAGCCTTAGAGATAGGGTGAGGAGCTCGGACATCCGGAGGGAGCTCGGAGTAGAGCTGCTGCTCCTTCGTGTCAAAAGGGGTCAGTTGAGGTGGTTCGGGCATCTGATCAGGATCTTCCTGGGCGCCTCCTGTTAGAGGTGTTCCAGGCATGTCCCACTGGTAGGAGGACCCGGGGCAGACCCAGAACACGCTGGAGGGATTACATATCTCATCTGGCCTGGGAACACCTCGGGGTCCCCCAGGAGGAGCTGGAAAGTGTTGCTGGGGAGAGGGACGTCTGGGGTGCTTTGCTTGGCCTGCTGCCGCCACAACCCAGCTTAGGATAAGTGGATGATGACAGATAAAAAAATGATATCATATCATAGCATATCATATCATATAAGACAAGTTGAGTACTTCTTTATCACATCATGTGTAAAATTACTAAGTGATGAAAATACCATTAAATATAATAAAATAAACTTTGCGGAGAAATTGACTTTTACATGAAAACATTAACATGATCAGTGAGTGAGGAAACATAACCTGTAATATAGACAACTATGTTACTGACCGTGTCCATTATGTTAGCCTTTGTTAACCCTTTGTTATCATCTAAAAGAAAAAGGGTACGTCTTTCTATTCTTTGTTTTTCGTATATATGCCTTTTTTTATTTTAAAGACTGAAATAACATTTTCTAATGACACATGTTCTTATTGTGTAATTTTTTAACAATCTTTAGTCTTTGGGGGGGTTGAAGTGTTTGAGTTCAGTTTCTTTAGATCTTCACCAGCTGCTCTAACATCAGCCTGAGGTCCACATGATGGATTTATATTACCTTGATAAAAAAAATTAAACAAAACAACATGATACACATTGTGAGTGAGTCTTTGGATTTTAAGTTTTGTTTTTGAAAGAGAAACTTTTCAGCATTCAGTCATTATAAAAGACTAAACTCTCTCTTTAGGTTTCATTGTTCTCTGCAGTTTCGTTATTGTCTCAAACTTCACACGCTCACCTTCTTCCTGCTCTTATCTTCAGCCGTAATGCTCCTTTACTACCTCCCCTCCCCCGCTCCTCCTCTCCACTGACATCCTGTCCTGGTCAGGAGGAAGAGGAGAAAAAGAAGGAAGAGGAGGAAGAGGAGGAAGAGGAGGAAGATGTCCTCCACCCTCCACATCCTGACTTTAGCCTTCACACTGAACCAACACACTGACTGATTCTATTTGAAAAGAACAGAATACCTTCAGTGTCTCTGCACAAGTACAACAAGTCAGTTTGCAACTTCCACATCAATTCTGTAATAAATTCAAAAAGTTATGACAATAATATAGTGGCAATGAAGTTAAAACATTAGAAACAGTGATTATCAGGTAACACTGAAACATTAAACTGACGCAAACAGTTCAGAGGTGAAATTCAGTATTAAAACCTGAACAGTGCAAATAGCAGACACAAAGTAAAAACAGTTTATCAGCCCGAGTTCATCACAGTCAGCCGTCACTTCTAATGAAGTCAGCTTGTATCAGACGAGTTACGGGCCAGACAGTAATTAGATTTCATGGAATTCAACTTTATATTTTTATTTCAATTGTAATTAATATAGTTCAATTTCATCAAATTCAAGTCCTTCTCCATAAAGTTAAAGTCTTTTTTTAATAAGTTTGTAGTTTGTTTAATCCGTTCATAGTTTGTTTAATAAGTTTCTAGTTTGTTTTTCAGTATGTAGTTTGTTTAATTATAGTTTGTGTAATCAGTTTGTAGTTTTTTTCATCAGTTTGTAGTTTGTTTGATTACAGTTTGTTTAATCAGTTTGTAGGGTTGTTTTAAAATCAGTTTGTAGTTTGTTTAATTATAGTTTGTTTAATCAGTTTGTAGGGTTGTTTTAAAATCAGTTTGTAGTTTGTTTAATTATAGTTTGTTTAATCAGTTTGTAGTATGTTGAATAAGTTTTTCCAGAAGTTTGTAGTTTGTTTAATAATAGTTTGTTTAATCCATTTGTAGTTTGTTTAATTATAGTTTGTTAATCAGTTTTTAGTTTTTTTAATCACTTTGTAGTTGGTGGTTTATTTAATTAGTTTGTATAGTCCTGATACATGTGTGATTATACTGAGCTTTGTTTTAAATTGATTTTAATATCAACTGTTAGCCAAAAAAAAAGACTGAAAAACAGGACCTTCGTTAGCTACGTCTGATCACAAGACTCAAACTGAATCTGCTGATTTATTTAATTTTATTTTATGTTATTTATTTATTTATTGTTACAGTTTTCAGTGGTGATCTAGAATGAAAATCTACAGAAATTCTGCTGCTGCAGAATTCATGTGGGCCTGCTGCTGGTCACACATTGTTAATGATCAAAGAACAGACATGATACAGAAACTAGGAGCACAGACCTCCCCCAAGGCCAACAGTCCCTATGCCTTCTGTGATATACAAATCTGCAACAGCAACCACTGTATATGTCTGGATATATTTACAAAAGTGGAACCTCAGCTGTGCAATGATTATGTACTTCTTCTAAACTGGAAATATTTCATGTACTTAAAAGGTAGAGTCTGTGATTCTGGAGAGAGACTGTTGATATTTGAACTCAACAACCCCCCCCCCCCTCCCATCATTTACATCATTTACACAACTTTCACTGCCTTTGTCTCTATCATCCATGACCTCTCCCCTGTCCCGTGCACGACCACCAACACACCATGTTGCTGATTGGCTGGAATATTGTTGTGTGTTTTGGTTCAAACTGCTTTGTTTGTTTCCAGTTACAGGGACAAAGACTGCACACAGAATGGACAGCCGGTGGACTGTGAAGAAATATTCACTGGATTCTGGAGTAAAACCACTCACTGCACCTTTAACATAAATTTGTGAAAACCAGAAAACACTTTATTACCATGTCAGTATGTACAAATATCAAAACTTGGACTGAAGTAACATCATGAACACAGTAGCTTGTTATCAACAACAGTCTGGTCACAAGGGAGACATTTTTACATTGAGTCAGATTTAATGTATTGTCTTTGGTGGAGTTTATTGCAGTTTCATTATATGTTTATGTTTCCACAGCCACACCTCTATGAAAACATTGTTACAGAGCAGCTTCATGTGTCGTCTGCCTCAGAGGATTACTGTTACCTGTCAGTGTGGACTGTGATATGGAGTGCGTGTTTGGTCTCTACTGAACTTTACTACCATCTACTGGATTCTAACATCGATGGCATTTATTCCACCAAATCTCACAATGCTAACCAAAGTAAAAACTATTTTGATCTGTTCCAAAATTTACTGGGTCCCTCTCTTCAGCCCCTGCTACATACAAGTTTCATGAAAATAGGGTCAGTATTTTTTTTCTGCTGACAAACAAACACACAAACAAACAAACTGAACTGAAAACTGAATTTTAACATCACTGCATAATGACTACATTCACCTTTGATACTTAAAGTACATTTTGCTAATAATAACTTCAGTACGTTTTCATTAAGTAACACTTTGAGGTGTGTGTATTGTGTGCAGTGTATCGTGTCAGGTCCTCACTTGTGTGTTTAATCTCTGATGAAAAGTGTTGTGTTGAAGGAAGTTCCACCCTCAGCAGGAAGTCGTGCTGTTTAACCTTGACAAACCCAGAGTATACACACATGTATACACATTTTTGCTACATTGTGAGGACTCCCGACTAGGAGGGGACACATGGGGACACACACGTGACGCAATTATGATTGTGATTATTATGAATACTGTCTATAAGAGGCTCTTACCTGCTTATTTTTAAGCTAGCATAACCATGTCATCATTGTTTACCATATTCAATGGTCTAAAAATGACACCGGGCTGCTACAGTATAACCATTCAGACCTCTACACACATCAAACTGGTGGGATATAACTCAGATACTCATCACAGCCTCTTTTCAACCTACTTTTTATCTTTAACACACATTGCAGTGCAAATGCTGTTGTGTTATCTTAATTACCAAACTATGTGATCATGTACAAGGTTGCAGATTCATCAGCGTATCTGTCCTGCTGCCTTCAGATGCTGCAGAAATGTCATGAACTTAAGAAGAGGCTTTTGCACTGCGTTCTGGCAAAGCCTACCTTTTTCTTTAGCGTTAGCATTTAGCAATTAAAGTTATTTAGCCCCCATCCTCAACAGTGTTGGGGCTAGTGTGTTGCAAAAGTAACAAAAGTTGTTACGTGTTACTCAAGTAACACCACCTGCAAAAACTGTTGACTGCTGAGCCAGAAAATGGAGTGTTAACTGTTCTCTACCTCCTCATCAGACACTTCAGAGCATCCATCGGTCCCCACAGAGGTCAGAGGTCACTTCCATCTGTCCTCAGAGATCTGGGTGTGTTCAAGGTCCTCATCATTGGCTGAGGAAGTGTCTCACTGCAGAGGGAGAAGAGGCTTCCTGAATAGAAAGTCAACCTGCAACGAAAGACGAAGAGGAAGAGCTTTATGACTGTGCGTGTGTATGCAGTTTTTTTGTGTAAACTTTGTTGAGCTTCATCTGAACAGTTTTTAAATGATTATATTAAATGTCAGACTTTGATTAATGATCAGATTAAAGTTCAGTGTGACATTCGAGCAGCTTCAGTCAGATTCTGAACGATTTTCTGTTTCTGTTTGTTTGTTTCAATCTTTCTAAGTGTAACACCAAAGTTCACTTTTAACAACCAGTGTGGGTCAAAATGCCATAACAGGTTTTTATTAAATTCAGTGTTGCCGTAGCCCACAGGAACAACGCTCTGCAATGCTTTTTCCCCCCCAAGTGAGGATTAGATTATATGCAGTTCACATGACCAGGCCGAAATTAATACATATAAACGCTTAAAGATCCACTCATTACTAAAAGTATATGTCATGAAAAAACTAAACTAATGGTCAAAGTTGTCACATTGAAATTTAAGGTGTTTGATGGATTCACGTCATCAACTCATGCACTGAGTAACATAACAAGTAAACATTCCACCTTAAGTTGCTGGCAGTCGGCCCAGTGATTGAAGTTTCTTTTCTCAGTCTACAGCTGCTGTGAGAGGCAGCAAAACATCCTTTCATTTTATAGTTACAGTCTACTAATAAAACTCCATGGCATTAGCTTCTAGCTCTATTCACCAATCAACAGACTGCAGTGTTCACAGCTCCACCTTTTAGTACCAGATCTGTGTGCTAGGTACCCCAACAGAGGGGGGACCAAAAATGGGGACGGTACGGAACATTTCCATTGGTACCATCCACAACTTTTCACAGTGGAAACAGAAAAAAAAAATTGTACCAAACTGAACTGAACTGAACTGTATTGTGCTGCTCAGTGGAAACAGGACTTTTGCTGTTGGTGGACCCATATTTTGAAAATTTCATTTTTGCAATCAGAAATAGTACAACTTCAATATTTACTCTTAAAAACCAATACCTCAGGGTGTGTTTGCTACCTTTACAATAAAATCTATTTAGAACACAAGGTTTGTTCGGCTTACCAGGCCAGCATGTGCACAGGACCACACACCTGTGGTCCATGAGCCTCTTAACAGCTCAGGTGCTCTCACTTTGATTGGCCAAATTTCACCTGGGTCCTAGTGTCCCCGTTTGATGATGCAGACATCAGGATACACTTTGACTCTGATTGGACGGTCCAGGAGGCTATAATAAAGTGGGATGATCCTCGAAAGTGCTCTGCAGTACTCATCAAACACCAGAAGATGGCGGCACAGCATCCCAAGTATCGGCCCCCCCACACCCCCACCGTCATCCCCACCGTCATCCCCCATCACATCTGTCTGTAGCTGCTTCACTGCAGCTACGGCCCAGACCAGACAGGAAGCGGCTGTGCTGCAGTTCAGTTCCTCTGCAGGTACAATGCACCTTCTGCCTCTGGTTCTCATGTTGGTTGGGATTGTTGAAGGTGGGGGGGCGGTCAGAGGTGGAGGTGTGAGAAGCGACTGTCCAGCTGTGTGCAGGTGTGAAAGTGTCGGGATGCTCCAGAGAGTCGACTGTGTGGATGTTGGTCTGAGATCAGTTCCCTCCAACCTGAGCAGCTTCACGTCCTCTCTGTGAGTACAAACTTTACTCAACTATAGTAACAGTAATGTTGTAAAGTCTCCGTCCACCCTGTCATCACTGTTCACTCTTTAATTTATTTATGTTTTATAGTGAGTCAGGAGTCTGTTGATTTTTTTCATGACAACAGGTTTCTCTTTATTTCTTTTCCTTTATTTAATCAGCTCAAAGTTAAAAAGACACACAGGTCATTTATGATATTTATATTTTTCCTTACATTTAAGTTTAAATTATACACATATATGTATATATATATATATAACAAGAGAACTACATTATTGAGTATTGTGAGTATACTGTTCTCGGCTCCAAGTAGAATTTCACCACAGGTAAGTTAAAGTTAAACTACACTGATGACATTCAAATTATTGTTTGCTTAATGTAAGTGTGTTAAGTGACACATGTATGAAGAGAGCAAAATAGAGTAATCAGCACACAGTGTGGGGTACAGGAAACACACCAACACACTGTTTCACTGTTTTTTAAGTCACAAGCATTGACATTTTTTGATCTGGTCAAATTTAAAACAGCAATAATCATGTTTAAAGCAAGAAATAATTCACTTAGGGGCAAAATTCAAAAATGTTTTGTGACACAGAGGGGGGTTATAATCTAACAGGAGAATTTAATGAAAAAAAAAACACAATGTGTTCGTACAGCTAGACGAGCCTGTGTATTTCAGTGTTTGGGGTGGAACAAAGCACAAATATAAATCAATTTAAAAAACTATACTAACAAGATATTTTGGCAGATATATAGATGAGGAAAGGTTGTGCATATTTATTTTGTAACACTAGGTGGTACTTGGACTGTAAATAAACTGGGTTTATTACTTATTTATTTAATTAGGTGGTAAATAGACTGGGGATAGTTGTATATTAGTTGTAAATACATTTTGGAATTTGTTGAAATAATATGCGAATTAAAAGAAAAAATGTAAGAAATGGGTAGGGACATATATGTTTTACTTCTGCCTACTCCTTTTTATCTTTGTCTTGTTTGTTTTTATTATGTTTTTTCATTTTTGACATAAAGTCATCTATTCATTCATTCATTCAGAAAAGTGTTTGCAGAGTGAATAATATATAATAATATATAATACGGGGTAAAATATACTGAAACACTGAAACAAATACAGTTTAATGTTTATGTAAAATCTATGTTTGGCAGTAAAACTTTCATTGCAGTCTTGTGTTTGTCTTTATTAACTTTAAAACTTTTTTTGGTTCTGCTAAATTTATTGCAACACAAAATCACTTTTTTTATTTTGATTTTATTATTTATGTGAAAGATGTTTTCTTCAACAGATGACTGATGCAGATTCATGTTTTACTGAAAGTACGACAGACAACTTGATTCCTTCAGTAAGATTTATTAATCATAATTAAACTTATTTTTACTATAATTTAATGTAGTTTGAAATATAAATATAGACATGTGAGGGTGATGGTTTGTTTTGAGAATGTTTGAAATGTTTGAAATGTGTTGACACAATAAAATCTGGTCTTCACTCGAGATAAATAAAGTTCTATCTTTAGTTTTAATGCTGAACTCTTTGTATTTTCAGAAAAGATATTTTTTTATCATTTTATCACTGGGTTGGTTTATTAAAATAAACCAACCCAGAAAAAGTCAGAGCTTACATTTAGTTTAAGTTAAATAGATTTATTATCATTAAAAAGAAGATGCACAAAGATGAAGAAAAAAACAGAAGTGCGCGTCGTCTTCAGATCCTCATCATCTGCATCATTATCTCCCTTTTAATGGACATTCCTGAAATATTTTAGAATATTTGATGGAGTTACAATAAAACACAAACTAATAGAAGAAGAAATGGGATAAATAGATAATAAAGAAAACAGACCACCAGGCTGTAATCATGTCAGTAACAATCAGAGTAACTCAGTCCGACACTGTTAACGTAGGCCTATATATATCATAAATATTTTTATATAGCAGTTAAATATTTGAAACATGTCATGTATTTTTTGTAGCAAACAACAGTTAACAGCTGATTAGTTTATTACATTTTATCAATTTAAGTTTAGTTACATTTTAGTGGATTTTAAATTCAGAAAATACAAAGTGAACTCACAGAGAAAAAGAAAAGACTCCAAAGATAATATTCAAAAAGTCTCACACACAGTGAATTTATCCAGGTTTGTAAAATGTAATAAACAGTTTAGTGACGTATTGGCTCAAAGGTAAAAAATAATAATTATAAAAGATTAAAAAAAAAGGAGAGCAACTGAAAAGCATCTTTAACGACACGGACAAAATGAAACACATCGTTTGTCTGTTAAAGGTTGTTCCAGTCGTTTATCTTTATGAATAGTTTTTATTAAACACTGAGAATAAATAAAATGAGCTGTTAGTGATTATTTTATTTATTGAGACTTTCAAAGAAAAACTGAAAAATGTGTTGTTTACAAAATCAGTTTCAGTTCAGAGATTTTATATATTCTGTTATTTTCTCATTAAATACACAAAATACACCCACAAACTAATGATTTTATTCATCATTATTATTATTATCATTACAATCAAATGTATAAGTGGTGTTTTAAAGACAATTAATGAAATTCTTTGATTTTGTGAAATTACAATTCCTGACAGAAAATTAAAAAAATGAACTGCAGCTTTATTTATTTATTAATTCTTTACTTTTGTTTTTAACTTTACTTCTTCATGATGAACTGATGATGATGATGATGATGATGATGAGTCCTTCACACATGTATAAACCAGTATAAACCAGTGTTCTCTGACCAGCAGACAGCAGAGTGTGATGATACGTGTTTTTGTTGTTTCAGAGATTTGAGTATGAACGAGCTGTCGGAGCTTTCAGCCCACACCTTCACAAACCTCCACCTCCTCCATGAGCTGTGAGTAAATCTCCTTTACCCTTACCTCCACCTCCATCTTCACATCCCCTTTCATCCTTACCTCCACCTCCATCTTCACCTCCTCCTTCACCCTTACCTCCACCTCCATCTTCACCTCCTCCTTCACTTTCACTTCCACCTTCACCCTTACCTTCACCTCTACGTCCAACTTCACCTCCTTCTCCACTTTCACTTCCACCTCCACCTTCACCCTTACCTCTACCTTCACCTCCACCTCGTTCTCCTCCACCACCTCCACTTTAACCTCCTCCTCCACTTCAACCTCCTCTCCCACCTTCACCTCTACTTTCTCCTCCTCCTTCTCCACCTTCACCCTTACCTTCACCTCCACCTTCACCTCTTCCTCCACCTTCTCCTCCACCTGCACCTTCCCCTCAGCTTAGGGAACATGTACCGTCATGTTGTTTCATCCTGTTCTGGTTCACAGTCTGTTCACATTTATCAGTGTTCTTCTTCATCATTTACTGAATTCAAGTTTCATCCAAGATTTCAACAGAATCTACGGAAACTATTGAAACTAAAACACAACTGGGTATATCTAAAGAGCTTCAGTCAAACATGATGGAAATGTCTCCTCGTCATGTTTTAATCATTTATCCACTCAGTCTGTTTCTGATTTTATCCCCACAGATACTGTTATGGTTTAGTTTTAATTTCTGTGTTTCCACTCTGATTTTTTTAGGCACAAATTGAGACTTTTTTTTGTTTAAAACAGTCTGGGTCGTGTCACTGTTTTCAGCCTTTTATTGACTCACTGATTCCATTATTGGTAAAAGCAGATGAAGCGACAGTGAAAGGACTCGATGTTCGTCCCTTTCATTACTGTGAGGTGATGACAACATGATGATGTCATTTTTGGGTTGTTTTACTTTAATCATTCAGTGTGTGGATATACAAAAATGAGAAGCACAAACATGATGAACTGACAGAGAACGCTAAATGTGTGTGTGTGTGTGTGTGTGTGTGTGTGTGTGTGTGTGTGTGTGTGTGTGTGTGTTTTATAGATGCAGGATATTAAAACAACAGCATGATATAAGTTTGAGTCGTGGTGACTTCACTTAGAGAGCCAACACAAACACAAACACACACACGCACACACACAGGAGGAAACAATGAGAAAGGATAATAAATAATATGAAAATAAATAAATCCACAAAACTAAACTGAAAACACAGAGAGACTTTAACAAAGACAAAACAAGAGGGGGACATTGTGGGAAAACCACTTTCAGATGGGGTGAGCGGGTGCAGAGGAAGCAAAACACAAGAACGAAACCTATCAAATCAACAGTTTGTTTCTGACTCCATATAATGATAATAATAATACTAATAATACTAATACTACTACTAGTAATAATGATAATAATCTGGTCTGTACACACGATGTCTATTGCACGTCTGTCCATCCTGGAAGAGGGATCCCTCCTCAGTTGCTCTTCCTGAGGTTTCTACCATTTTTTTTCCCTGTTAAAGAATTTTGGGGGGAGTTTTTCCTTATCCGCTGTGAGGGTTCAACGGACAGAGGGATGTCGAATGCTGTTAAGCCCTCTGAGGCAAATTGTGATTTGTGATATTGGGCTTTATAGATAAAATTGAATTGAAGACTTTCAACTAATCAGAACAAATGTTAGTATAGTAGTAAAGACAACAGAACTGAAGAGAAGACTAAATTTAAAAATGTGCTTCTTCATTTAGAAATTAATCATTTTAAAGATATTAATAAACTTATTGGACTGTTCTTGTTTCTGTAACTGAATGTAAATGAGCAAAGAGGTCAACTTAAAGTGAAAGAGTGGGAAATGACAAAACCAGGTGTGTGTGTCTGTGTGTATTGTGAGGACATAAATCTGTTAATACTGTGGGGACTCGCAGTCATTTGGGGACAAAACGCAAATAATTGAATTTTAGTAGAAAGTGGGTTAGGGAAATTCTCCAGGAAATGAATGTAAGTCCATTTAAAGTCTGAAGTGATTGAAACACGACTGTGTGTGCTTGTGTGTGTATGTGTGTGTGTGTGTGTGTGTTTTATCAATCGGCATTAACTGTGTTTAATCATGTCGGTGTCGTTCTGCAGTCGGCTGGCAGGAAACAGCTTGACGAAGATTCCAAAAGATTTCTTCAGAGGACTTCTCAGTCTGAAGCTGCTGTATGTAAACATATATTCATATATAAATACTATACAGCCTTCTGTTTACATAATTCATATGTCGGGTTTTGCTTTCGCTTTACTTTAAAATATCCTCATGACTTTATAAAATGACAGGCTGCTGCAAACACTCGATATTATATTAAAACAGAATTAAACTAAAATTAATTGTTCTGAGAATTTTCCAACACTACAGTTTAATGCTGTTTTTTTATTGTAATGACTTCAGTTATATGAGCTGACACATTTTGTTTTCAGTAAAAAGTAAAACTGTACGTAACCTATAAATTTATTTTATAGTCTGTTCATTAAGTTACAGCAGTGACTGAAGAGTTGTGGAGAAAAGTTTCTTGTTTTAATTAGGTTCATTGATTCTGTGAAAGAACGAGAAAGTTTCACAATGTAAAAAATAAAAATGTGAAAAGAAGAAAAGTTTCTTGCGAAATAAAAAAGGGAATAAACTGGAATGTGGTAACGATGAAAAAGTATGCAAAATATTTTCTTACGGCATCTCATTAAAACACAAAATGTTGTAAACATGTTTAACATCAGTCCAACTTACTATGTGATGACGAGAAAAGTTTCTTCTTATCAAGTAATTCAGTCAATTAATGATTCAGTCAACAATTTGTTTTAATGAAATTCTTTACTTTTGTGACAAAACAAGAAACAAAATAAAATGTGATAAGAAGAAAAGTTTCTTTTAAAAAAAGAATACATTGGTGTAAACTATTAATGGTACAGAGCATATCAATATTTTGTAGTAAGGTCTCATTAAAACACAATATGTCTTAAACATATAAACATGTTACACAATATTATTATAGGATGAGGAGAAAAGTTTCTTCTTTTAAAGTTATTAATCAAATTAATATTTCACTCATCGACTAGTTGTTTTATGGAAGTGTATTGCTGCAATGCCAGGAAAAAAAAAAAACACTGATCAGTATCAGGTAATAATGTAAAATGTTTTTTGTTATAACCAAACAAATAGTATATTGTTATAACTAGAAAAGATTCCTTCTTTCTTTTCTTCTTTCTTTCTTTATTTTATTTTTATTTTTTTATATTATAAAAAGAAATGTTTCCTTCTTTCTGTCTTTTATTATTATTTTTATTTCTTATGCTATTCAAAGAAAACTTTCTTTTTCTGGCATGGCAGCAATATGTTTCCTCTTTTTTTTTTTAAATTGCAAATCTTTTATTTTGTGAAAAAAAAGAAGGTTTACACTACTGGTATAATAAAACTCTGATTATTCTTATGTCTGAACAACATTACATCATCATTTCATAAGATTATCAATAAAATCATTTTCATCATGTTCATATTTCATCATATGATAAATGTTGTACATGTTTAATAAACATCATTTAGCTTTCAAGTTTATTAAGAACAAGTAGAGAGTGATGGTTTTACTGAAATATGTTTGCTGAGATCTGTATGTTTTTGTTTATGTTTTGGTTGTCGGTCTGGTCTCGTCACAGAACTCTGCAGAACAATGGACTGAAGAGAGTTCCCTCTGAAGCTCTACACAACCTCAAGAACCTGCGCTCTCTGTGAGTCATGAGACAATCACACAATAAACAATGGACATGATTTTAATCATCTTATCATTTATTGTATCAGTCTAATACACAGACCAGCAGAGATCACATGAGTTACGTTGTTTACCTGTCAGAAATGAAAACAGGCTGGACAGAATACTGGAGACCTCTGACTCTCATGATTGAGGATTATGATGATTATCAAGTTGTCCTTCTGCCGAAACCTGAACAAACCAAACTGTAACCATAGCTGCCTCTGATGAGAAACAATGGAAACATGTCATTTCTAACTAACCGACAGTTAACACCTCTCTGTTGTTCAGAAGTGCCAACCTCTGCTTCACACTTCACAGCAGCAGCAGCAGGAGGTGGTGGAGGTGGTGGGTGGTGGTGGGAGGTGGATGGTGGGTATCGGCCACATGCCAGCTGCCTGTTTGTGGTTGTGCCAGGAGGCTTTGTCAGACTGTCAACACCATAAATGACTACCATGCTGCCAAAGAATGTGTGGACCTCCCTGATCGACAGAGACCAGTGTTGTACTGTTCATCTGAACAACAGCAGCGTCACACAACAACAACAAAAGATCCAACGTGACAACAATAGAGTCTGTCTGCAACGTCACACAACAACAAAACATCCAACACGACAACAACGGCGTCTGTCTACAGCGTCACACACAGAACAACAGCAACAAAACATCCAACATGTTCACATTTAAATACACATTGAATTTATTCTTCAAAATATTTTGCCAAGAAGTAAAAGAAAATTTAGCCCCTAAGAAAAAGGTGAAAATAATATGACACCAAGTGAGTCATTTAAAGTGTGTGATATAAATATTAAAATAATAAACTTAATTTCTTTAGCACAATTCAGGCACAAAATGCAACAGAGTGCTCCACATATAAACAAATAACCATGACATTTACAATGAAATAACAATTAAATCAAATTAAAAACAAAAAGTCAAAATAAGATAATTGAAGATGAAACCCCCAACAGAAAATCAAAAACTATAATATGTTTATTCATATTGCATCTTTGAATACAACATTACAAAATGCTTTACGAACATCTTGTCTTTTCCAGACGTCTGGATGCTAACTCCATCTCCCGCCTGCCGGCCACCTCCTTCAAAGGTCTGTGGTCTCTGCGTCACCTGTGGCTGGATGATAACGTTCTGACAGAGGTTCCCGTTCTGGCTCTCAGGGATCTGACGGAGCTGCAGGCTCTGACTCTCGCCCTTAACAACATCAGCTACGTCCCTGACGGAGCGTTCAGCTCCCTCAGCCAGCTGCTGGTGCTGTGAGTCTCTCTGGGTTCACGAATATCCAGAACAAATTATTATTATCATTATTATTATCTCTATCATTATTATTATTATTATTATTATTAATGTCCTTATTATTATTATTATTATTACTATTATTATTGACTCTGTACAAGGTCACTGGATTCATTCATTTTAGCAGAATGTTAGTAGACTATTACACTACATGTTATTTTAATAATTAATGATGAATAAAAAAAATGTTCCTCCAGCTTGGTCATACAGTCATAATTAGCTGTGTTTGCAAGTGGGAAGCTGGGTAGTTATTGCAGGGACTGTCGTGCCAAAGGAATTGATTGATAGATTGATTGAGAACTGTAAAATCAATTTTGCACAAACAGCAGAAATTAATGAGGGAGGTGGGAAATGAGACAAAGTCCAAATTGTAACCAAGAATCAAAACTGGACAGAATTAAATATAAAAACAGACAACAGAATGAAATAAAAGACTGGAGAGCACCACCTACAGAAACTAAAGATAGCAGGACGTCCCAGTGCTGATCACATTATTTGACTGATGAGTCATCACTGGGAAGTTCAGTGTAGAAACTAAGAAAAAAAATACAAACAAGCTAGTTTACACGAGTATATTCTAAAATGTTAAAAGAAAAAGAAAAAAAGAAAGACATACATTTTTAAGGGTATTTTTGGTCATTTTATGTCTTAATTAGACAACAGAAGAGAGATGACAAGAAATGGGAGGAGAGAAAATACGTTAGTTTTTTGTGATCAGATTCAAACACATAATGTATTATATTTTGTACATTTTGTTATTTTTCTAAAGGCATCTCCATGACAACCGCATCCACTCTTTGGGCCAGAGGAGTTTTGATGGACTGCACAACCTGGAGACGCTGTAAGTCTGAAGTTAATTAGAGTTTAATTAGAGTTAAATAATAAGAGTATTATTAGATTTCTTTATTCACATGTTAGTCTTTTTCCCTATCATTATTATTATTATTATTAATATGTTAAAAATAATTCAATTAATATAGCTTTATTGGCATGAACAAAGATGTGTAACTGCCAAACATTTCATAAAAAACAATAAATGAATAAATAAACAAAAATAAAAACAAAATAAATAAAAATAGAAAATAAGTTAATAAATAATTAAATACAAGTTAAAATAAACTTTAAATAAGATAAACTTTCCTTTTGATTCTGATATTTTAAACATTAACGTTGGATTATTTGTTTCTGATTTAAATTAGAATGACCGAAAAGTAAACTGTTTAGAAACTTGAATCTTTCAGAAACTGAATCTTTCTAATTTTACAACTACTGAATAAAGAACTTTAATAACTTTGAATAATTCATTTTCTCCTGATATTATTTGGAGTTTTTAGACAAGATTAAAGATTAACTGACTTAATATTTAAATGAATCAACAACATTTCAGGACGGCTTCGTGGGAGGCTTTTTGAGGCTCTGTAACTTTAAAGAATTTGAGCCCAGATGTCAAATGAGTGGTAATGTTGATTTCTGACTCTGTAAATACAGTATCTGGAGAATTTAAAAAAAAAAAAAAAGCTAACAGTACTCAAGTAGAAACAGAAATGAAAGTGTGTAATACACACCACAGAAAAAATATTTAAACACAAGATGATCAACAAATATAAAACTGAAGTATGAACACCAGAGTGTACAGGTAATGTATTTGGGATATTTGTGCAGACAAAAGGTCTATATGATGTTTATATACTTAGTTCTGTCAGTTACTTATTGCTCTGTATGATTTAAAGGGAGTTGACAAAAACAATGAATGTTAAAAGGCTTCAGCCTACCCCTAGTCGGTCATGTTTTGTTTTGTTTTCTTTCTTTTTTTATTATTTTCATCACGCTAAAAATATCATTACCTTAATGTTTATGTATTGTATCTACCAGTATACTTGTGTTTTATAGGTTTGAAAATTAACAAACCAAACTAAACTAAACTAAACTACAAGTACACCCCTATATTGAAAATAAATTACAAATAATCTAGTTGAATCTAGTAGGTTTTGAAAGACAACATTTAACCAGAATTTAAAGTCGAGTATATTTTGTATTGTGGAGTCAGCGGGTGCAGCCGTCCTCGTCTTAACATGTAAACTCTGTGGGTTAATCCTTTAATTGAGCCACCAGTGCAGTTCAAACAACATCACAGTGTGTGGGCAGAGCTCGCAATTACCTCCAACTCCTGCACTCTGCACGTGCTCCCATCACTGGGAGGATAACCAGTAAGGAAGAGGAGGAGGAGATAAAATGATAAATATAAAGACATGTTACAGATTAAACTTCCCAACAATATAATCATTAAGTAATATAATATTTTATATGATTATTAAATGTCATTGAATGCAGGACTTTAACTTAATCATGTATATTTATATTGCAATGTTGCTACTTCTCCTGGATCTGTATCCTTCCTCTACCCCTGTTCAACACTAAAAAAGGCTTTTATTTTGAAAAGGCTAGTGTCAGACGTAGATGTGACGGTGTGAACTGGACTGAACTGAAGTCAGTCTGCGTACAGTGTGTAGGTTACTGTGGCATCTTTACAGCAGAAATGCATCTGGCTGGCATTTATCTAGATTGGTCTATTACTACGTAGAGCTGTACGAGATAGATCCGCCTGCGGTCTCTTTGTTTCTCTGCAGACGTACACATAAAGACACTGTAGCCCGACACACACCAGTCATTTTATTTCATCAAAGCCTCTGAGGTCACTATAAAAAACACTTCCTCTATATCTCCATTATCAAAAGTTCCATATTGAATTTTAGCCACGTGTACAGGAGCGCACGACAGACACAATTTAAACAATAAAATTACTTTGAATCAATAGCATTACGTAGAAGATTAATACTGAATATGTGAGTTTAAGCAGATTTTAATTGAAATTATCCTTAATGATGTTACAGCTTAACATCACATAAAAATATAAAGATCTGATACTTTTTAATAGATAATAATAATTTTTGCAGTTTTACTTCGAGAGCACTGGCCATGTCTATGATTGATGACATTTACACTGAATATTAATTGTTCTGATTGATGACGCTGATGTAAAGTTTGTGTTTCTGCAGAGATCTGAGTTTTAACCGGATCAACAGTTTTCCTACAGCCATAAAAACCCTGAACAACCTGAGAGACCTGTGAGGACACTACACACACATACACACACACAACGAAATTTTAAATTTAATTAATGCAGTTCATCGATTAACTACTAACGCTACATATAAAATAAAAGATTGTTGTATGTTTTTTTTCTACAGGAATCTTCAGAACAACAACATTTCAGTCATCCCCGAAAACATTTTCTCTGGAAATCCTTCCATCGAGACCATGTGGGGACCTTCAACTTCATGTTTGATCACTTGTTTAAAGACTTTAACACTCAGACCATAATTATTTATACCTGGAATGATAAAATAGTTTAAGGTTCTTGCTGCCACTAAACGGTGAGGATGTGTACTCTCATCTTTTTCTTGACAGAAATATTCAGAACAATCCTCTTCACGCTGTGGGACACTCGTCCTTCCAGCTGCTGCCGGCACTCCAGACACTGTATGTACACATGGTCCTCATCATGCACTCTATACCTGTATGTATGTATGTATACACAGCATTCATTATACACCCTACTCCTGGATTCATACAACATACACAGTACATCTGCTGTATGTATGCTAATGTATGGTCATTATACACACTATAGCAGTATTTATAGACCATACACACCACGTGGATTTATACATCATAGACTTCCAAATAAGTTCAAAAACAGACACCACAAAGGGAGATATGATAAACTTGCTGACTCACTGTTTGATGATCCAGGGTGTTTTGGTCGATTTAAGAGTTGACTGATTTGCAGGATGTGTGGAGAGTTGCAGGGGAACGCTCTTGACATTCCCCAAATAAACAGGCCTTTACAAAATCAAATTTCAAGTCAGTGGGCTATTAAACGATTTCATCAAACAATAGTGGTTAAAGACCATAACCCCGTGGCATCTTCCACACTCACTTCAGCACACCTGCATTTAATTACAGGTTCCCAAGATGCCAGGTGAAGTGGTGCATTAAAGCGACTCAAAAAGTAATAGGCAATTATAGCTGCTGCGCAGCAATGGTCGGGGCAATTTTAGGCAAAATTAGGCAATTCTGAGCAACACACACTGAAACAAAGCATATCACAACATAGAAGTTACATCATATAATTATGGCATGCCCTTCAAACTGTGAATGAGTGGCTGAAGTGATCAGACAAATAATATACAAAGGAAAGAAAAAAACTCAAGAACAAGAAAGTAAGAATAACATTAACTGCTAGCAATTATGAACAAACTGGCCTGATCTAGCTTAAAGCTAAACATTATTCATGGTGACAAAGATGAAAACATTTTTTAAAATGTAAAAGTAGCTACTGGATAGACTCTGCATATTGACTGATAGCTAAGCCAAATAACAGGGAAAAGAGAAAAGGGATAACAGGGAAAAGTGTTGATAAAGAGTATTTGTCTCTCCGCAAAACTGCCTGGATAATAATTATTTTAACATTAATAGTCTCTAATCCACATAGCATGATGCCTGAACATAGGATTTTCACATTAGAATGTCCATTCTGCCTCAGCTGAGGCTTGAACTCACAACTTCTGAGACTGAGGACCATCTTCTATCTCACTGAGCTAATTGGCAAGTGACAGTTCAGGTGTGGCTTCACAAATTTCAAAGTGAAAGTTCCAAAGCTGTAGCACGTATGGTTGATTTGTTGTGAATTTTGAACTTTAGAGGCTTGCTGTAGCGCCACCATCAGGACTATTGGCCTGTTTTTGCAACTGAGGCAATCTGGCATGAGACTGGACCTTTGTACAAAGTTTGGTGATTTTTCACGCATGGCAAGTATGATTTCCTCGGAAGAAGATGAAGAAGAATACCTAGGATTACAATAGTGTCCGGGCAGCTAACCAGGACTTGCAGAAATGGCTCTAACAGTATTTATACACAGTCCTCATTATATACACTGTACCTGCTGTATGTATCTACAGTCCCCATTATACACTCTATACTTGTACTTTTTAGCAGTAATGTAATTCAAAGTGATTTCAGTCATTTTATTTTATTTTTTAAATATATAGGAATGCTTGCAAACAGGAGGTATAACTAATCATATTTTGAATAACACTGAGAAAAACCAGTTGTTTGTGTTTCTTGCCTCAGGTCTCTGAGTGGAAGCAGCATCACAGAGTTACCAGACTTCACTGGGACCAACAGACTGGAAACCCTGTGAGTCCAGTTAAATAAACAACCAAATCGCATTTTAGTCTTTGAAAATGCTCTGAGAATTACAGGCTGGGTGAATTAAATTGAGTGTTTGATTTGTTCAGCTCCATCACAGGCAGCCACCTCTCCACCTTACCTGACAACATGTGTGAGGAGCTGCCCCACCTGCACAAACTGTAAGAGTCGTCTCACCTCATTTAACTTATTTATTTATGTATATATAGAGGGCAGTGTATCTACATTAATACTGTAACACTGATGTTGCTTAACTGCAGAGTTTTATCTGACACAGCTAAAAACAAAACTGCTAAATGATGAAAAGCTTCAGTACAAAGTGAGGTTATAATAAAAATACGAGAGAAAGGAAAATAGGAAATGCATCACACCACGCTGTCTAAATAATCTTTTAAAAAAACAACAATCAGACCAGGCTTGTTTTATTTTGACCCAGTAACGCCAGTAAGATGTGAATGTGTGAATGATGTGACAGTGGTGACAATGTAACAGAGTATACGTTTGTGTTTAGGCCATAAACTTTAATTTCAGGGGTTTATTTTATGCTTTTATCTATTTAACTGTCTGTCTGTCTGTCTGTCTGCAGTGATCTGTCCCACAATCTGATCCAGAGTCTGCCAAACTTCAGCAGCTGCAGAAAGATACAAAACATGTGAGAGTTTTCATTTTTCCGGTTTTCTTTTGTCTGTGCTCCACATCAGACTCTATGGTGATCTGTGATTCTCAACTCTGAAAGCAGATGTTTTTCAGCCCCCCTCCTGCCACTCACTCTACCCTCACCAACTGCATCACTGAAATAAAATCCTGGCTGCAAACCAACTTCCTCAAACTTAACTATGACAAATAAGAAGTCATCATCATCAGTCCCAAATCTCTTCTTAAATCCACCCATAACTTCTCCCTCTCCATCAACGTCTCCTCTGTGCTAAACTCCCCCCTTGTCCGTAACCTTGGTGTCATCTTTGACCAAACCCTCTCCTTCCACCAACACATAAACACATAATCAAAACAGCCTTCTTCCATCTCAAAAGCATCGCCCACCTCCGTCCATCCCTCTCCTCCTCAGCTGCAGAGACTCTCATTCACGCATTCATCACTTCCAGACTTGATTACTGCAACAGTCTCCTCTATGGTTCTTCATCCAAAACACTCAACAGACTACAGTACATCCGGAATTCAATTGCTTGTCTTCTCGCACCACATCGCCCCCTGTCCTCCATAACCTCCACTGGCTCCGCATCCCTTAGCGTATCCACTTCAAACTCCTCATCATCACTTTCAAAGTCCTCCAACAACCTGGCTCCCCTCTACCTATCTGAGCACCTCCACCGGCACACTTCCTCCCACACTCTCACTCAGGTCTGCTGATGCCAACCTCCTCTCCCTCGTCCCCACCAGGACTAACAACCACACCTGGGGGGACAGGGCCTTCTCCATTGCTGCTCCACCCTCTGGAACTTACTCCCTAAAGACATCAGAGACTCCCCCTCACTCTCCACCTTTAAGAAAACCCTCAAAACACACCTTTCAAAACTGCCTCCTCTTAAAACTGTTCTTGTCCCTCTCTATTATTTCATCTTTGTTGTTGTTGTTGTTGTTGTTGTTCTCTGTACAGTACCTTTGGGTGTCCAGAAAAGTGCTATAAATCTAGTGAATTATCATGAGGGTCCGGGCAGCTAAGCTGCCAGGACACTATTGTAATCCTAGGTATTCTTCTTTCTTCTTCCGAGGAAATCATACTTCCCATGGGTGAAAACTCACCAAACTTTGCACAAAGGTCCAGTCTCATGCCAGATATCCTCAGCTGTAAACTCAAGCCAATAGTCCTGATGGTGGCGCTACAGCAAGCGTCTAAAGTTCAAAACTTTGACAATTCCTAACAAATCAACCATACGTGCTACAACTTCACAACTTTCATCAAACTGTAGCCCCAATACTGAAGAAACTTTTGTACATTTAAACCTATTAAAAATTATGAAGTTCATCACTCTGTTTTTTTCAAAAACTGTAAAACTTCTTAAACCTATCTGCTCCCACAATTTTTGCTCAATTGACACCAAACTTGTGACAGAGCATCTTCAGACTGTCCTACAAAAACTATGTTTCTCAGATTTTTGATTTATCAAAAATTGAGCCTACAGTGCATCAAAATGTTTGACTGTAAACGGTACTGTAAACATATACATGCAAATTCTTGCTAAATAAATCTTCAATGTTCATGAAAAAAAAGACAAAATTCTAGAGTCATTGTAGATGATGTGTGGCAAATTTCAGAATTTTATCTCAAAAACTGAATTTTTGACAGCATTTTGAATTTTGCTCTAATGTGAACAATTGGAGTCAATGTAAAAATGGCAATTTTAAACATCAGTTTTTCACTTATGGAGCAAATCAATCATTGTTACAAACAAATTACCAACATCTCCATGCTGTCTAGATGCAATATGTGTATTTTCAGATTTTTGTTTCGATAATTGAATTTTTTTACAGTGGTTTGAAATCTGCTTTTCCATGCATGGACGGCTGCTAAACCTGCACGTCTGGCTTAGTCAATCTGTGAAGCTACATATGAATTGTCACTGACTAATTAGCTCAGTGAGATAGAAATTGATTCTTAGTCTCAGAGGTTGTGAGTTCAAGCCTCAGCTAATGCAAAAGGCAGATTGTGTTGCTAAATGTCTTCCATTTCTTCTGCTTGTTGCTCAGAATTGCCTAAAAATGCCTGGACCCGACCCATCGCTGCGCAGCAGCTATAATTATTATTATTATAATAAAGAATCTCAGATCCTCCTTTCACTAACAAACTGTGTCTCCGTCAGCGATCTGTCCTCCAACCAGCTCTCCTCCGTCTCTCTGATGAGTCTCACTCACCTGAAACTGTCTGGACACCTGCAGCTGAGAGTCGCCCACCAACACGAGCACCAACACAGACTCAGACTCAGGTAACAACACACACTCAGGTAACAGTATTCACTTCCTGTCTTCACGTGCTCTTGTTTGATTGGCTGTGTTGTTCACAGGTCAACCAATCAGCTGTTCACCTGTGTGTGTCTTCACTGTGAGGACGGCGGCAGTAAGAGAACTCTGTTTCATTCTAGTCAAATGCAGTCTGTAGCAACATTTTTCTCCAGATATGCTAAGCAGTAAATGCAAACATACAACAACCATGGAGGGAGAAAAACGCCAGAGAAGAAGAAACACTTCCTGCTTTTAGACCAAATAGTTCCAGGAACCAAAGAGTCAGTTTTATGTTCATTGTCTCTTTGATAGACATCACAGCTACTTCCTGTCTCCTCCTGCAGGTCTGTCCACATGTTGCCTGGACTCGGTGTCTCTCTGGCTGCTTCATCTCATCTTCATCATCTCCATCTTCTTTAACCTGCTGCCCCTGGTCTTCCTCCTACTTCTCCTCCTTCCTACTCCCAGGACCTCCTCATTGCTCTCTGTGGATTCAGCATGGACACTGATCCAGGATCTGGACTCTGTCCTCTGAGGTCTTCATCACAGCGGAGAACAGACCTGCTCTTTTATCATCTCTTCTTGTGATGGTCATTTCTGCCGCCTCTCCTGAGTCACTGTAAAAACTACAGGAAGTGAACTGCAGCTGGAGATATGGTGACATCCAGGTGGACTCTGGGACACTGTGACGTCACTGCAGTGATGTGGGGAGAGGGCTTTTACAAGTTTCTACAGTTCCCATTCCTTTATTGGTCTTCAGTCCATGTAATATTTAATATCATGTCTGATTTATACTTGAATTGCTATATGTGTACCCCTTTGCATTTGTTATATTTTTCCACATAAAATAAAGAGGGTCAATCAGTATCACTCTTATCATGAAAATCTGGCAAGCAGACCAGATAGACACCCATATTGTTGGGAAAGCTTTGTTTAGCATGTAGCATTGTGCTGATACTGTATAAACCATTTCAAAATATACAGGTGTCATATTTCTTCTTATTCATTGTAAGCCTGTGGTCAGTAGGTACTCATCATGATCATTTAAGAGGATAACTATAATATCTGTTTTTATTCTGATATTAAACTAAAAAAAAAACCTCAATGTTATTTGGCACTCAACAGGCAGGACACAGTGGCAAAGTATCTGTCCACTGTGACCAATCAGAAACTGAGAAAGACTTTAACTGCGTACAGACTCAGGCAGACCTGGCTGCCGAGAGAAGACAGGCTGTGTCGACTCTGAGAATTACAGTTCTTTACAAAAATTAAATGTAAAATCCAGGACTTTGATTCACTCTCTGATCAGACTAAAAATGCAACGTGTACATGGAGAAAATAGTGTCAGCACTATAGATGCAGCAAGATATGTCAGTGCATGTCACAGCCGGAGAGACAACCAACACAACAACATATAACAGCATCAAAGCTGTTTCTTTATTGATCCTAAAACATCAATTACTTATATACACACAGATTAGTTTGGTCTTGCGCAGTGGTTTCCAACTGATGGGTCATGGTCCAAAAGTGGGTCACAGGCCCATTCTGAATGGACCTCAAGTGACTCGCAAATGTGTGGTTTGTAAAACAAAACAACACACTTTACATTTAAGTGCAGTGAATGTCCAGCACAGAGCTTTTATTTTGAAGTGCAATTACCTGCTTTAGATTGAGTGACTAATGGACTGCTACTTGACAGACAGCAAACTTCACTATTTCACTACAAATATACGTCTATAACACTTTTAACTGTTGAATATTGGTATCTATTTCAAATGTGAAATTTGTTTTCAAAAAAAGACTAACATACAAACAAGCAGATGGACAGAAAAAAATATTTACAAATAATGAAAAGCATTATGAAAAGCAATTGTCAGTGTATACTTTGATTTACAAATTCAAAAAGGAATGGAAGTATTAACTTATTAAAACCCACCCCTTTTTCATGAGTAATTGAGTGAAATAAAACAGCTTCCTTATATAAATAAACTTATACCTAAGACTTTTCTAAATATACCATTGTTAATTTGTTTAATTTTGTCACACAAAAATAACCAATGTATATGTTAAAAGTTCATGGTTTTATCCACAAACACAGCTGCTCCTCCTCCAGCTTCGTTTTGTCCATTTATGTACCTGTGTTCATAACCAGCCAGCTCAAAGTCCATCCCTTTTTCCATGTTGACCCACGTAGATATAGCAATTATGTTGAATAGTAGTGAAAATTGATTTAAATATTCTTTGATGTTATTGAAATTTGCATACAGGCTTCTGCTGTTAAAGTGGATAATTGATTATTTAAATCTGACTTGATGTTGTGGTTATACTATTCATAAATGAAGTAACAGCAGTTATTGTTGACTGTTACTGTCAATATGATGCCCTCTAAAAAAAAAAAGGCAGCACCCACTATGACATTAAACGTGTCAGATTATTATACACTATAATATTCTTTAATCTTTTTTAACGGTGTAGTTTTTTCATGTGATGTCAGAGGCACAGTTGTAACATCTAACTTGACATGTGACATTTCAAAGAGAAAACGATTAATGTGTGAACTGAAGGAATAATTTAAGACACAATAAAAACTCCGGAGACGTGTCTTTAATCTTTAGAAAATAATTTAATAACATTTGAATGCAACATATAAAAAACAACAGTGGAAGGACTCCTCTCCTCTCTAATACTCTTGAATCATTATCATGTGGTAGAAGTCTGACAAAAAGAAAACATGGTGGTGCGGCAGAGTCCTGCAGCGGATCAGTCTCTGGGGCTCAGAATGTCTCTCAGACGGACGAAGCCAAATGGAAAAGATTCAGTTTGATCGCGTTAACAAAAGAAAAGTCTTGTGTTTCCTCAGGAGACAAAGAAAAGACAACGTGCAGATGTTGCAGCATCACTACAGGAGGGAAAACTTCCTTTAAAAACACACACAGGGGGTCAAACACCACAGTGAGATGTCCCCTCCCCCACCTCCCCACCCCACCCTCAGGTAAAACCAAATCAAAAGGGAGGAAATGAATCCAAATGAAAAGTGACAGAAACAAAACAGGGAGGACATGAATCAAAGAGAATGTCACTCAGCAGCAGGTCGATACTTACGTCCATGATGTCATATAAGCAGCTCCAGACATGGTGTCCCCGAGGAGGTGTGTGTGTGGGGGGGGGGGGGACGGGGACGGGGCGTCTGTCTTACCTCGTCTGATCTGTCTGCTCTCACTTTATCATCTACATCACTGTGTTTATTTATTGTGTTTGAGTTTGAGTCACTGATGTTCAGTGTGCTCTGCACACGTCTCTACACTGAGCGGCTCACTGAGACTCACTCCCACCTGCTGACACCTGTCCACCAGCGTCCTCAGTCTGTCTGAGCTCCGTCCTTCGGCCGCTTCAAACAGTAGGCGCTGCACAGGGGGACAGACAGGGAGAGGGAGGGGTGGGGGCACAGAGAGAAGGGGGAGGACAGAGAGAGAGAGAGAGAGAGAGAGAGAGAGAGAGAGAGAGAGAGAGAGAGAG